CAACAACAACAACAACAACAACAATTCCAGGCTGGTATGAAACACTGTTTCTGGCTTGTTTTAGGGATTATCCACACTTCCACTTCTTCCCCCACTCTGCTTTTTAGTGCTCAATCGGAGCAAACGGCAATTCTGGTTTCCCCCCAGATTGCCATTTATTCTGATTTAATGCTAAAGAGCAGCTTTTCCTGGGGAAATGAGCGGACCAAAGAGGAAACTTCTTAGAGCATTGCCTAGATGGTGCAGGTAAATCAGAAAACTGCTCAATCACGTTTGTGGTTTCTGGACACAGGGCAAGCGGAAGTGTCAACAAGTCATTAGTTGTACTTGGGAGAGGTTTGAACAGTTTCTATTTAATTAGATAAGCTTGTTTCAAGCACACTGGAGTCTTTCACTGCCAGTTTTGGGAAGCCAAGGCTCCCCAGCATCTCACCTTAAGTTAACCAGGCGCTTGTTCTTCCCTGGTGCCCAGGTGGCCGCACTGCTGCTGTGTTGCAAGCAGCTTTTGTGTTGGGACCCTTGAGAAGAAGCCAGCTGTTGGGAATGCTTCAAGATGCCTATGTGGAGTCCCTCTGCACCCTGTTTGCTTGCAGAGGATTGCAGTCCAAATGTTGGCCAAAACAAGCAGAGAGAATGATGAATCATAGAGCCACTGGCTTAAAATACATTTAGGTGTCGTGATGAATTAAGTGAAGCAACAATGATTCTGTTTGAAACCTAACCTTTCTAGAAATCTAGTGGAAACATGTGCTAAAGCTACCCTGAATTCTTTCAACAGGAAAAGCTGCTTAGACAATCTAATGGATGAGGATGAAAAAGACAGGGCAAAGAGGTGAGTACCCTCTCCCCTCTTCATCTCCTTTTCCTTCAATACTAATTTTAATGCATAATTTTACTAATACTAATTTTAATGCATAACAAAGCTATTTTACTCTCTCTCCCTCTCTCGTTTGCCCAAGCTAAGGAGAAAATAAAGCCTGGCGCAACATGAAAAACAGCTGAATCTCAAAACATGCAATTCTTCCTGCCATTCTTTAAAAGCAAAGGGCCATGGGAAGCTCTTCCCATGTCAAATGCTGCACTTGGTTCCCTTAAGAGAGACTAGAATCAGAAGTGAAACAGAGACACCCGCGGGCAATGTTCGTGCTTGCTTCACATGAAACACATCTTTCTAGTACTTTAAAAGCACCTACAAGAACCAGCAAAGGAAAATGTTAAAAGGCAGGTTATCTGTGTCTTAATTACCTGAAAAACAGTACAGGGTAAATGGGATGCAGGTGCTTATTTTAAAACAGATTAAACTATCTTCCTTGGAGTAGACTACGTCAGGCACTGCAGAATCGAGAAAGCAATCCTGGCCGTGAACAGCGGACAGGAACAGAGCTGTGGACCCACCATTGTATCTTAAATCCCCACTGCTTATGCCTGGCAGGATGGAAGCTGGCTGGGTGGCCCTTATTTTCCACTTTTTTTGCTGCCCCAACTCCTCAGAATGCTCTCCAGCAGATCCTTTGCTGGCCCTGCTCTGTGCCTGCCACTGTGATACCCCATTTCAGGGCCTTGTGGTGGTTACTGTGGCAGGAACACCACCAGCAGTAGCCTTTGCTCTGTGGCACTCTTGGCAGGTGCAGTGGGGGAGACACTCCCGGTGGCAGAGCCTGGCGAAGGAAGGGGCACCTCCACCTCTTCCTAACCCTTTTCAACAGTACAGATATAAAGGGTTAGGAGTGTTCTGCAGTACCAATCCAAATAACTTCCAGTGGCCATGACTAATCTGAATCAAAAATAAACACACGTAAAGGGATGTCACACCACAGATAATAGTCTCTATTTAGATCTCTGTGTCTCCCTTACAGTTCAATGCTATGTCGTCCAGGGTCTTCTTTCTGTTCTTTTTGGCCACCAGAGCAAAAAGGGCGGCTTTGTGAGTTGCTGAAGCGTTTACATTTCTAAGAAGCCAAATGTCAGGGACTGGGCAGAGGAGGAGTGGTGTAGACAGTCTCCCCATTTTGACCCTTCCAGGGAGGAGGAAGAGGGAGACAGTTTAGATTTGCAACAGGGGTTTGAGGGAGGTCACAGCTCAGAGGCAGATGCGGGGAAAAGTTGGGAAATAATGGGGGAGGGGGAGGAGAAGGAGGAAGCACCAGGGCGGCGACAGCTGACAGACAGTGCCTTTAGAAAGCTTTCCAGACCCCACTCTCTCAGAACCCGGAGAGCCTTGAAAGTAGGAGAGCAAAGAGCTCAAAAACAGAGGGCACTTATCAGCACCTGTAGGAGAGATGATGCGATTGACGAATGAGGAAGTGGGAGAGACAGGGCGGGGGGTGTAGAGATTTACTTATCCAAGGGGCTGGGTTCTATAGCCTCTCTCTGTAACTACTGAATAAAAAGCGGACAGTAAGAAACATTTCCTTGTCTTTGTACGTTCCTGGGCAACTGGCCAGGAGTTGCTGGCAGCAGTCTGACACCATAGGGCCTTATCTGCTGCAATGAGACATCTTTCCTGTATGGGCAGTAGGGTGAGAAATCGCCTCCTGGGTCCTGTGTATATAGTAAATAGGGCAAGATGTCTTAGGATTGTTCTGTAAAAAAAGGAGCAGTAAAAAATCAAACATCACCATACAGCATCGTCATACTTAACATTTGTATAGCACTGCACATGCATTATATAAGTGCAGTCCTTTCAACCCTCCTGTTAGGTAAGTCCGCATTATTGCCTCCTATATTGCAGATGTGACTGAATCCCACCTGCAAAATAGTGAAAGTCTGGATGTGCCCTTAGTCTTTCCTCCACTCTTTCCAATAGGTAGAGACAAAACTTCGTAGGAGGGCATCTAATATTTTAATGGGGATTGAGTTCTAAGCCCTAGGTGGGAGAGAGGAGAAGGCTGGGGCTGCTCTAGCATAAAGGTTTTCAGAAAGTTGCTTACAGCAACAATATACAACAGCCTAGACAAATGTAATAAACAAGTATTGTTTAAGAGGTGATTCATCTCTTATGGGGAGAAAACTTAGGTGAGCTCTTCTGTACTGAAGGAAGATGCATTAGAATGCTATACTAGGTAAAATAACTATGTTCTGGTCAGGGACAGACCAGAGGGGGGGAAATTAAAATCTAGGGACACAGAAAATGCTCTCTGTATCAGGGGGACATTACATATTTTATATTGTGCCTGAAACTGGCACAAGTATCCGGTATTACCTGCTGGTACAACAACAACACTGATAAATCCACACAAAGGAGATTGCTATCATCTCATTTGGGGTGCCCGAGGAAGTGTAAAAGATTGTTGAAATGAAAGGCTGTAATAACTGTCAGATCTGACTGGCATCTGGAGTTTCACAGCAGCTGTTTGCTAGTAGTTTTCTCTCTCTTCCTGGATACTTTCTCATTTTTGTGAAAACAGGAGATTAATTGGCTTATACAGAGCCTTAGATTGCATCTGGTTTAGTTTTCACCATGATGCTTCTCTTTAATGAAAGAATTTCTAGTCTGGCCACTATTTGATTTAGCATCATCTCTTTTTTAGTTTCTTTGTTCCCTGCAGCTTTCCTCTACTAATATAGGTCATGCTATTCTGCTGCTTAGATCAACTGTCTTTTTTTCTAATCTATGTGTTTTCAAGACACAGAAGCCCACTATTCCATATGAAAAAAGAGTGTGCTAGATAATGTGCCAAATATGGGGTGAATAAGTGCATTACCTTAGAGTCGACAAGCAAGATTGGGCATAAATGATACAACTAGATACAGGAACTTGAATTCAGCTTTCTTTATTCATGCTTATTATTAACGCATGGACATGAGCCTTTTCTTTTCTCTTGTAGTAACCAAATAAACAAGAAACACCCATTTACCATTCTTTCTTACTGGAAATACCGTACTTCTTGCGCAGGACAGCACACCCTATCTTGTCGAATCCTGACAAGACAGAAGTACTATTTTGGGGGGACAGTTGGCGGGTGGGTGAAGTACAGACCTTACCTAACACTCCCAGTTTAAAAAGTGGTATGAGGTTTGGTCATGTTAGCCCATGGGTAGGCAACCTAAGGCCCGGGGGCCAGATGCAGCCCAATCACCTTCTCAATCCGGCCTGCTGACGGTCTGGGAATCAGCGTGTTTTTACATGAGTAGAATGTGTCCTTTTATTTAAAATGCATCTCTGGGTTATTTGTGGGGCATAGGAATTAATTCATTCCCCCCCCAATATAGTCCGGCCCCCACAGGTCTGAGGGACAGTGGACCGGCCCCCTGCTGAAAAAGTTTGCTGACCCCTGTGTTAGTCGCCGAATGTGGTGGTCGAGCAACTTTGGCAATAATATTATTCAGTGTCAATCTAGTGTAGCGTCCAAATTTGTAGAGCAATCCAAACTATAGGAAGCCAGTATAATTTATGCTGGGGTAAATTATGCCAGTGTAAATTATGCTTCTTTCCGAGCTCTGTTCAGGAGTGGGGCTACCAACAGTGGAGCTAGCCTGAGCCTGGCAGACAGAAAACAGGTCTTTAAAATAGAGTTTGACTTGTGCCACTCTTTTTGCCAGTGGGTTGCTATGTCATGTAACAGCTGAACAGAGTTTGGAACAGGAATGGTCTCCTCCTGCCACCCCTCTTTTTCGGAACTTGCTTTAAGTTGAGCTGGCTGAGGATGGAGAACCTAGACCAGTGTACCTGTGGTTGAGATGGGGTAAGGAACGTAGGCTCAGCCAGAGATCCACTTATTCCAAACCTCCCTCATCCTTGTGGTTCTTGGGTTTGGGCTGCTCCCCAAGTTTATCTTTTCCTTGTAGTACACTTCCTTTTGTGATCCCTGAAAAAAGACAGCATAGCTTTAGAAAATCTTATTTGTTGTAAAAATGAATATAAAATTACATGAAGAACTCCTCTAGTTTTATGTCAGCTTTCTTTGCTTTTCTTAGTGATGCACCATAATGAGAAATAATTTTGAATAACCACGCTCTGTGTGTGTGTGTGTCTATTAACAGTTTTCTCCTGTTTGTAGGGCTTCACGAAACAAGTCTGAGAAGAAGAGACGTGACCAGTTCAATATTCTTATCAAGGAGCTCAGCTCAATGCTTCCAGGAAACACCCGCAAAATGGACAAAACTACAGTACTTGAAAAAGTCATTGGCTTTCTTCAGAAACACAATGGTAGGTAACACAGCCATGACCACTTATTCATCCAGTTACTGTCCTGGGTAATGGTGAGGCTTCTTCAAACAGTCAAAATTTCATGGTCGAAGTTTTCCAAGATAGATGACTGTCCGTTTCTGAAATTATATAGTTCCTCCAATGGGTCTTTCCACAGACTTACAACCATCTAGAACTATTAACAGAAGTTGTGTTCTTTCTTTCTTTCTTTCTTTCTTTCTTTCTTTCTTTCTTTCTTTTGCCTAAGAAAGTTCCAGTCCCCCCCCCCCGTTGGATAACGTATTGGTAGATATATAACAGAAATGTTTTCATTTGTTTAGAATTCTCGACACAAACAGAGATTTGTAACACTCAGCAGGAATGGAAGCCTTCCTTTCTCAGCAACGAAGAATTCACCCAGCTGATGTTAGAGGTGAAAAACTCAATTTTTGCTAAGTTGTGAACGTGTGTGTTCTTCCAATGTAAACTGTGGCTACAGTCCTGCAAGCCAGATAATTTTCACTTGCAGTTCTATAGGTCGATAGAGCTCAGCAAGAGAGGAGAGGGAATCAAAACCACAGCTTATTGCTTGTGATTACTTATGCCCATGCTCATTGCTTGATTGCCTTCCTGGCAAACAAACACAAGCTGGCTTTTGCAAAATTATTGTTTTTTAATAGTTAAAATTTTGTTTTAATGTTGTGTGCATACAACTCTGAACCAACCTGGGATCTTCTGGTGAAGGATGGATAATGATAATAATAGGCAACCCCACTAACTGGAAAGTAAGTGTAGGGAAAAATTCAAAAGGAGCTCACCTGGTGAAGTGTTCCAGTGTCGCTGCTGCTTAGTAAGAAAGAGAGGTTGAGATACAAGGATGTAGAGAGGTCAGTGCACCAAAGGAAGCACTACTCTGACCTCCCTGCTGTCTTGCCCCTTTCCTTCCCGGTAAGCAGCAGTGACCTCACTACCTCATCTGATGTAATTTAATGTTGAAAATAAAAATTCAAAGCTTGGAACGCTATACCGCATGCTTACTGGCATTCAGGGTACTTTATATTTTCATACGAGGAAGAGAAGGAGCATTTTCAATGTAGCACGCACGCAGCAAAATGCCTTACACATTAGACTAGTCTTCTTATAATCGACATACCGTTAATAAATTGAGGTGGTGGGTTCTGTTACAGATTCACATAGATCCCACATTTTCAACGGATCCAGTCTAAGCATAGCTATCTGGACACAACCCAGTAGCGTTTTAATATCAAAATGTCTGAAGGCCTATTGTTAGATACGGAGTAGATGTTCAGAGAATGTCTTTTCCAAGCCTGAGATGCCTCAGGGAAAATCCTGCAATACTGTTTATTTGCTTGCTTGCTTGCTTAATTTCTATACTCCCTTTATCTGAGAATCACAGGGCAGTTTACAATATAACAACACAAAAATAACAAATAAAAGCAATATCCCCCCACCCAGTCAAAAGGCCATAGATGGATCAACTAGCCAAAGGCCTGGTTGAACAGGAATGTTTTTGCCTGGTGCCTAAAGATATGTAACAAAGATATGAGCCTCCCTGGGCATTCCACAAGCGGGGAGCTACCGCAGAAGAGGCCCGTTCTCGTGTTGCTGTCCTCCAGACCTCTTTCGGAGGAAGCACATGAAAAAGGGCCTCAGCTGACGATCATAGGGTCTGGGTCAGTTCATATGGGGAGAGGCGGTTCTTGAGATACTGCAGTCCTGAGCCAGTCTTTGTTGTGTGGTCTACATATGAAATACAAGTGAAATTATAAAACTGAATGTTCCATCCTGGGGTATGAGTGTATTGATAGCAGTGAACTGATAGCAGTTGCCTTGAATTCTCTTACGATGATAATATTAGCTGCTAATGTTTTCTGGAATTGCTCTTCTGTGTTTAAGTGAATTTTCTCCATCACTATGTATGTTTGGCAAAAAAAGGCTTCACCTGCTGAATTTCTGCTTGGCTCACAGCTTGGCTCACAGCTGTAACCAGCTTGCTTTTGTACAAATGAGGCAGTTTCAGCAGAGTTTTTGCAGAAAAGTGGGCCATCCTTCTGTTGCACGAACTGTTTGCAAACAAAGAAGTAAAAATAGTGTCATGTTTGGATACATTGATCAGATTCTTCCATAAAATCCTAATGAGAACCCATCTGCAAAATGTATAATGTATTAAAGATAAATAAACCATTTACCGTATTTTTTGCACCATAACACTCACTTTTTTCCTCCTAGAAAGTAAGGGGAAATGTCTGTGCGTGTTATGGAGGAAATGCCTACGGGTGGCATGCCTACGGATTTTCCTCCTCTAAAAACTACGTGCGTGTTATGGTCGGGTGCGTGTTATAGAGCGAAAAATACGGTACTCAAACAAATCTCCACTGTAACGAGCTCAAGACAGCTATCTCTGAAGGATTCTTTCTTCTCAAGATTTAAGTATTTCAAGAGTAGAAAAATGTGTTCTAGCTAAATGTGGACCATGAGCTTAATTAATGTAGCTGTCAAAGGCATCTTACCTTCAGTTCTGGGAGAAGTGAGCATTTACGGTTGCAAAGAAAAACTTGGAAAAAAAGTGATACAAAAGAAGAAAGGAGTTGACTGTACTGCTGGGTGGTTGAGGAAGGAGCTCTAAGTTGTTACATAGATTTTTTTGGTTATAGTGAATTAGGGAATGAGTAAATGATGTAATGAAACACTCTTTAGCTGTAATGAGGAGCTCTGCAAATGCAGGCAGTAAGTGTCCAGGGGCTGCATCAAATTAATTTCTTGGGCCACTTTTGTGCACCCCACAGATTCTGACTGAAATTTTTTCTTTATATATTTTTTTAAAGTTAGGTATAGTTGTGGTAGTGGCAGAAGCAGTTAAAAAATGCAAAAAAATATTGGGAACACAGAGGTAAGGAAAAAAGAGGAGGGGAGAACGATAAAGCTACCAGTGATAAAATTTCAATTGGTTCTTAGTATAAATAGCACCCTTTCCCTTAACTTTTCTTCAACATATTTCTTTTCTTTTCTTGAGAGTCAAGTGTGTAGCTGTGCGACCAGACAGACCAGCTCCATTTGCAACAGCTTCAAGTGCTGAAGGGCAATTAAACCCAGGCTCTTAGGAGACAAAACAAATCCTGTCTGATCTCCAAGAGCTTCCTTGGAGCTACAAAGTTGAAATAAGGAAATATTCTGTGTAAAAGGATTCAGCTGAAAGGTGTGAACCCCTAGTTTTCACCTAACAATACTCCCACCCATTCTATTTCTTTCTTCTTCTTTCTACCAGGCATTAGATGGTTTTGTAATAGCTGTTACAACAGATGGAAGCATTGTGTATGTTTCTGACAGTATCACACCTCTTCTTGGACATTTACCCGTGAGTAGCTCTTGTGGTTCCATATTGAGGATCTCTGAATGAGGGTTCCTTGCACGCAGCAAAGGGGTCTGGCTGTGAGAACAGCTAATGTAAAATCCTGGAACTGCATGCCTAACATAACATTTGAGAATTAAGAATGCAGTCTTATTATACATACCTACTCAGAAAGGGACGCGGGTGGACTTCCGGGTTAGCGCGATCTGGAAATGGCGGATTCCCTCCGAGCTGCGGAGGGAATCGGCTCCACGGAGGTTGGGTCTTGCCGCGCCGGCGACGCGGGGACCCTCAGAAACCGTAGGCGCTGAAGCCTACGGACGGGAAGACTCGGTGGGCGCCCTAAGCACCCCCTCCGACCCTCGAAAAGGGTACGGAGGGCGGTGTGGCGCTGAGAGTCGATCGACACCTCGGTGGAGCGTAGCCGCGAGCCATGACCGGAGAGCGCTGACTTCCTCCCTGAAAATTTGGACTGAAAGAACTAACCCATGAGTAAACGGAATTTGGTTTTAAGAAATTTTTCCTGCGAATTCGAGACGACCGGAGGGTGTGCTAAAAGGGAGTCCGCACCCCCCCTAATTACAGAAAATTTTCAAGCAAGGTCGAGAGAACTAAGGCGGAAAAGATACCTTTATATATTATAAAAGAAACTATCTTCCATGATTTAATAAAAGAAGTGTTGTGCTGGAGAGTGAGGAGGAATTTTTCTTTTGAGAAAATCCCCCCCCCTTGGACCAGGGAGTGTCCCGTGTTTGAGTCTGGTGAAGAAGAATAAGGAGTTTGACAGCTGTCAAAAGAGCTGTCAAATGGACAGATTGAAAGTTTGTTAACTGATATCTCTCTGAACTAAAAGTTAAATTGAAACAAAGTTGTTGGAGACTTGATAGAAAGAAACAAAAAAAGGTTTGGACTGTTGGAAAAAGTTTATAAAGTAACCAGAATCCCTCTAGGGGGATTCCAAAGCTACTACAATGGCTGCAGAAGGAAAATTACAGGCAGAGATAAACAGGATGTTCTTTCTTGTGGGAATATTGCAAGAGCAGAGTCTGAGTATGAACAAACAATTAATGACCTTGACTTCAGGAACAAGCAACTCTGCTGAATGCATGAAGGATTTGACAGAAAAGGAATCTGCAGCCAAAACAGAAGCGATATCTCAAGAAGCGGAGGAAAGAGAGCAAGGAGAGGAGAAAGAACAATTGGAAAATACCAACAAAAAGCCTATAATGGTGGATTGCAAGGGAAAAGATACCTGGATTACTTGGATTATAACTTTGCAAAAGATGCTAAGGATGAAGGAGGGGGCCCCTGAAGTATCTGGAATACAGGAACTTAAAGGACACAAGAAATATGATTGGGGCCTCCCTTTTGAATATGAAAGACTGGTTGACTTCTGGCAGCAGTTGTTACCAAGTATCTTGGAGGGAAGGAAAATTGGAGTGATGGAGAATGGATTGCTTCAAGATTTGATGACTGATATAAGAGACTTCCAACAGAACCGACGGAGAGGAACAGAAAGAGATTTAAAGGCCTCGGACGTAAGAAATCCGGGCTAAAAACTATGGTGGACTTTTATTTGAAAAGGGACGAGTACCTGGGAAGGGGGGAGGGGGAAGCAGAAGGGCAAGAACGATGATGAACTTTGGGTTGGGTGAAAAGGGCCTACATTCAAAAATGGGAAATCTGTGGAAGGGAACCTAGGCCGACCTTAGGAAAGAACTTAAATGTTTATAAGAGTTGGGGATAAGAGAAATGGGGCTAATTAGGAAGAGACATATTAAAAATATCGATTATAGGTCAAGGAGAAGAAACTAAAACTTGCTGAGTTAATTATGAGAATAGGGATGTATGAAGAGGGGGTGGGGGGGAGTTCGGGGAATAAGGTTAAGAAAATAAGGTTTTGAGAACATATTTGTTTTGTTTTTGTTGTACTTTTTGTGTGTTTGTTTATGAAAAATGTGAAAACCCAATAAAAATTATTTTTAAAAAAAAAAGAAAAAGAAAGGGACGCGGGTGGCGCTGTAGGTTAAAGCCTCAGCGCCTAGGACTTGCCGATCGAAAGGTCGGCGGTTCGAATTCCTGCGGCGGGGTGCGCTCCTGCTGCTCGGTCCCAGCGCCTGCCAACCTAGCAGTTCGAAAGCACCCCCAGGTGCAAGTAGATAAATAAGGACCGCTTACTAGCGGGAAGGTAAACGGCATTCCATGTGCTGCGCTGGCTCGCCAGATGCAGCTTGTCACGCTGGCCACGTGACCCGGAAGTGTCTGTGGACAGTGCTGGCTCCCGGCCTATAGAATGAGATGAGCGCACAACCCTAGAGTCTGGCAAGACTGGCCCGTACGGGCAGGGGTACCTTACTCAGAAAGGAGCTCTCCTGAGTTCCATGGGATTGTCAGGCCAAAATGCACTGCATGGTTTTTGCCTTTATTTATTTATTTTTAATTGTGAAGTGATGGCAAATAATAGGAATACCATATTTTGGTCATTTCTGTAATGGACACTTTTGTTACTTGCAGTCTGACGTGATGGATCAGAACCTGTTGAATTTCCTCCCAGAGCAAGAACATTCAGACATTTATAAAATATTATCATCTCACATGCTACTGATGGATACTGTCTCATCAGAGTACTTAAAATGTGAGTATTACTTCTACTGCGTTCATGGGACAAAAATTAACAGGGCAGCAATAGTATCCAGGGTGGTGCTGTGGGTTAAACCACAGAGCCTAGGACTTGCTGATCAGAAAGTCTGCAGTTCGAATCCCCGCGACGGAGTGAGCTCCCGTTGCTTGGTCCCTGCTCCTGCCAACCTAGCAGTTCGAAAGCACATCAAAGTGCAAGTAGATAAATAGATACCGCTCCGGCGGGAAGGTAAACAGCGTTTCCGTGCGCTGCTCTGGTTTGTCAGAAGCGGCTTAGTCATGTTGGTCACATGACCCGGAAGCTGTACGCCAGCTCCCTCGGCCAATAAAGCGAGATGAGCGCTGCAACCCCAGAGCCGGCCACGACTGGACCTAATAGTCAGGGGTCCCTTTACCTTTAATAGTATCCATCTAATAGGTTTGGTCAGTGCAAGGATTTATGCTAGTGCAACAGAACTTTCCCCACCTCCTCCCTCCCCAGTGTGTGCCCCTCACCCTGCTCAGATCTGCTGTGGATTGTTGCAGGAATCCCTAGAACAGATTTAGAGGGTGCACAAGGAGAGGAGAGGAGGGGAAGTTCTGCTGCACAAGCATAAATCCTTGCCCTGACATATTAGTTGGATCCCACCCATCGGCTCTAAGATTTATTTATCTCTTAAGGGTCTGTACAGTACACTTTAAAGAATGCTTTGCTTGCAATGATATTACATATATTTTTGGGAAAGGATAGTTCATGTATATTTATGTATAAAGGATAGTTCATTATATTTTTCCTTTTAAAGCTAAGGGAACCAGTCCATAGAGAATTATTCTTCTATGCAATTTAAAATCTAGAATAATCGTGCTTATTGTACTCAAAAATGGGACTGTTCGCAGCTATGTTAATAATACATGGTTGAATCTTAAGGAAAAGTGTTATTTTAGTTGGATATACATATAAGGAGACTTTAATCAGATCCTGTTGTAGTCATCTGTTCATAAATTATTATTTTTATTATTATACATGAGAACTTGTGGAATTTTTTGCATATTGGTTTTAAAATCACAGTGCTTTGAACTATTAAAAGGGCAGGCATGGGAGAAGGATCAGGGATTATTAGTTAATAAGATAGATTCATTTTAATCAATTCTATCTATGGTTAACCTGTTTTAAAGACTAGCAAAATTATAATGGTATAAGCTTCCATAGTCTACAACCTACATCATCAGATGCATGGTGCCACAAGATACTCTTCTTATTTTGCTGCAGTGTAAGAAACTGTTTTAATTAAAAAAGATTTCCCCCCAGCATAAATAAATAAAGAATAATTTTGTTATGCAGGAAAAGGAAAAGACAATTAAAATTGCAATGTGAAGTTGATTTTTTGCATTGGATTGTTTGCAATCACATATACATATATTAAGCTTGCGTGATTTATTTCATGGAATGGTACTAAAAAATGGGATTAAGAGTCAAACTCAATCCCTGGCTTTAAGTATGCATGAGAAATACCTATTTATAGTTCTGAGCAGCCTAGGTTTATGCAGAGATTCATCCAGCAGACTGTGGGCCTTTGTGACTACAGACAGCATTGTTGAATTCATTGCGGTTCTTCCATTTGCCTCATTATGTGAATCTCATTGCGTTTAGTTTACAAATAATATTTATTTTAACTTTTTTGACATGTGTTGTTTAAAAATTCCAGCTGACGAAGATTTGGAATTTTGCTGTCATCTTCTGAGGGGAAGTCTGAACCCAAAGGAATATCCAACATACGAATATATAAAATTTGTAGGGAACTTTCTGTCTTACAGTCATGGTAAGTCTCAGCTATTCTGTAACTATAACCAGTGACTAAATAAATGTATATAGGGGGTTGAGCGTTCTCTGTGTGCGTGCATGCGCATTTCCAACATTAACAGAGCAATTTCAGACAGAATGACAACAACCAGTTGCTTAGACCACAATACCAAGCATTGAACTAGGTGGGATTTACTTGTGAGTAAATATGGTTATGACTAGACTGCAAAGCTGCAGTTCTAAGCAAACCCAGAGCACTTGATCCATTTTCTTGTGTAATGAATGTGACTGTTTCACGCTTACTTGTGGAAGGTCCATCCATGCACCATCCTTCAAAGATCCACCTCTGTTGCAAGTACATAACATTTCCGTGGAATATAGTCGTAACATTTTCATTCTAGTAAAATGAAGTAGTCCTTCCACATGGCACATTAATTGCTAGTGTGTTGTGTGTAGTAATATGGTTGTGCAGATATCAGAGGCATTTCTTATTTCCTGTGTTATAACTAGTGGTGAGCAACAAAATTCCCCCAACCTGTGCCTGGGCCATTTTGGTGGTTGTTGTTTAATTTTAAAATCTCTTGGTGCTGCATGTTCACATGTAGCCGCTGTGCAGGAGCACTTATCCAATGATTTATTTTCTTGCACCAAACAGCAGCAAAGCTGATCATCCACTGCAGACATAGCCAACACGGTGCCCTCCAGATGTTGAGGGACTCCAAGTCCTATCAGCCCCAGCCAGCATGTTCTGTGCTCAGGGATGATGAGAGATGAACTCAACATCTGGAGGGCACTATATTGGTTACTGCAGAACCACAGCAATGCTCAGCCATTTTATTTAGCTGTATTTGGGGTTCTTTTTAATGGTCTGGAAATTATTGATTCCCCTTATCTTAAGCTGGAGCATGCAGCTAGCCACATTTTTAAAAGCCAGCAATAGCATATCTTTCTTCCCCACAGCCAGTCTTTCCTTTCCACACTTGAATGCGCACTCCATTGCACGAGATATTTCTCTAATGTCGCTGAAAATGAATGTTAGCACAAAGTCTAAGGTGAGGCTTAGCATTCTCTAGAAAGGCCCATTGGGAGAATTTAAACTGTTGCTGCGTTCAGTTAGGAATGGTTTCAGCTCCTCTGTCGATGGGCATCATAGAAACATAGAATTGCAGTGTTGGAAGTTCTATACTATGCAGGAGTCGGTCCCTTGTCTCGGTCAGTTGTAGTTTACGTAGCAAGTAAAAAATTCCACCCTATCAAAGTATTCTTTACTGCAAGCTAGATTAACTTTGCAAAAATTCCTTATTAACCTGCGCTTTAGGATAGTTTATGGTGATTTCCCTCTCTTTAGCGTAATGTTTGCATAGCCATAAGAAGCTGGTGCTATAAAGGTAGGGGATTGCAGCCTAGCAGGGCATGGTACTATTAGGATGAGCTGTCCCTGTTGCTCACTTTCATGCATTTTCTTCTTCTTCTTGCCTATTGTCTCTGTACAATTCTTTACAATCCAGCTGTAGCAACTGGTAGCACCTTGTGACCCAGAGGCACCCTTATTCCCATGCCAGTTCAGTATGTATTGGGTGAGCTTCGCAATGGAGATGTGTGTTGGCACCAGCATCTCTCATTGGCAACACCTATGGAAAGCTCCTTATACACACAGAGAGAGAGAGAGAGAGAGGGAGAGGGAGACATCTCTCTGTCTGGATCCAAATAATTCTGTCTTCTTTCTAGTGCTCAGCAGTTTGCATCCACCAATTACTGAGATAATATTTTTAAATTAAGGAAGGAAAGTTACAGGTATGCATATATGGTCTGGGACATCCCAGTTGCTTCAGAAAAATATAAAATATTGAGGTAGGTATGCAGACAGCATTAAAAAGAAAACACATGCCAAGCAATTTACAAATAACCAGAGGCAACTGTTTTGTAAACCATAACCAATTCACAGTGATCCTTGGCATACTGAGGAGCTGTGGTTTATTAAAATGGACTGTTATAGGGTTAGAGCGTAAGTGGCGTAAATATCATATTCCATATCCCTGCCCCACTTCCTCAACACTGTGTGTTCATACAGTAGAATATTCTTACTGAATGGAAAACAGCTTTGTATTTCTAGTATGCACTAAAAGGCTGGTTTGTGGCAATATAATAACGAAAGTAATAATTTGTTTAATTACTTCCAACTTCCAACTATTTCTTGGATTTCGCTTCAGTTGTTTGCCTGAATATATTCTAGGAGTAATGTTTAAAAAGTTGATATTAGCTCAAATGGTCATATCGTATTCACACTGTGCTTGTTAGAACTCACAATTCCACAGTCTGCAAGACTGTATAAACGCTACATAACTGGTTGGTGCCAGACCATATAACTAGCAGCATTTTTTAAAAAAAATGTGGTGAAGCATTCTTTTTTCTTAATTTCATATGACTCTGTATTTACCAATATAAAAGGACCATCTTATCAGACGCACACCAATGCAGAAACCCCTTTTAGCCATTACATAAATGTTTAAAAGCATCTTTGTGGTGCACAAGTGAAAATGCGCACAGTGGTGATGCAACAGCAAATACACAACTGCATTTTTTACGCAGATGCATTTCTGCATGAGAAGCGATATCTATTTGGCTGCGTGTCTCTGTGAATTGAGCCTTTTTTCTTCAGTCTTAGGAACATGGCAAAATGAATTAAGATGTGAAATAATAGACAGGTACTGTTATTTGATGAAATAGATGCTGAATTCAGCGCAGAAACAGATGGAATATAATTTCGACATGAAAACAAGTGTTTTAAAAACTATATCCTCTAGGGGTTTTTTTTTATATAACCTTTTGGTTTCAGGCTAGCAGCCAGAATCTCATGCTGTGCTTTTTCCAGAAGTGTGCAACTCAGAGCGTAGGTAGCAGATTGCATATTTCAATACTCATGGGCAGGGCAGAAAATATATCTGCACACAACTAGCCTGTAATAAAGGAGGTAAATATCAGCCAGAAATGGATAGACCAGGAAAAACAGAATCATATTCCACAGCACTGAAAGCGACACATTTCGCTAATAGGGAAGTGGAAGCTTCTCCGAGAGTGGAATGAGACGTCATGGTCACACATTTCAAATCTGTGCTGTGCTGAAAACCTGTAAAGCTAGGAGAGATTTTCCTGGGGGGGGGGGACTGAGGGGAATAGCGATCTCCATCTCTTCTTGCTACTTCTATCTATCCCAACCCCTCCCATCTATCTTGAGGGGGTTCAGCATCTCTTCCCACCTATTGCTTCTCACTTGACATCGTTCTCCAGCCCATCTGCTATGCTGCTGTTCAGCAATGACCAATTTTTAAAGACACAATTTATTGGCATGGAGGGGGTAGTCAACTAAGGTTCACTCAAGAGTAGACCCATTGAAATGAATGAATGAAGACTATACGTTCGGGCCATTAATTTCAGAAAGCCTATAGTGAGTAAAGCTTAGTGTTGAATACCCTCCAGCTTACTTTCTGGCCTGACTTTAAGTTGTGAATTCATTTTTTTATTTATTCAGCTAATTCATTTAAAAATATTACATACATATACACATACATAACCTTAAAAGCACTGCCCAGACACATACCTCTCTGAGTGATACCTAGTATCGGCGCATTTCTATATGTATAAAATAGTGGGAGCTAAATACACTAAAAGGCACAACTCTTTGTCTCGCACTTTTCTTATCCAGTGCCTATATCTCCTTGTAATGGCTTTGATGGTGCTGTTCCAAGAGGTTACAGAACACCACTAGGAAAACAAGTCTGCTTTGTCGCTACTGTTCGACTGGCAACACCTCAGTTTCTAAAGGCAAGTGTGTATGTCTTAGAGTCTGTTAAAAGTCTTTGTAGTCGTATCTGCCCTTTCAGTCCCTTATCTTCCCACTCATGAGTGTGTACAAGGCGTTAGGGATAGGCGGAGCCTCCTCTCTACGTATATGGTGGCTCCTCCCAAAGCCATGGCTTGCAGAGCAGGGGCATATATGGTACCTTGGCATAACGGAATGGCCATCGGTAAGGTGTTCAATATTTCTGAAGGTAAACCGGTACAAAAAGCAGCAGGGGAGCACCTTGAGGCAATGCATGCAACTTTTCAAGTCAACTGCCAGCAGGCATCTTGCTGAAGCTAAAATCAGGTATCGTTGGGCCGGAGCCCGGAAAGGGAGGATATAAATGTTCTAAGTAAATAAGTTGTTAGAAATACCTCTCTGAGATTGCCACCACCACCCCATCCCTCTGCTGCTGGTAAGTCAGCTGATAATTTGAGCTTGGTCAATTTGATACTTATCCAAAACATCTGCCCGTGTATGCAGAACTAGGGATGGAATGCAGTTGTCTCATGTCTGCAAAAGCAATCTGAGGGGCTTTCTTCGTGGAGTAGAATGGGCCAATGCACATGTTACATTGCTTCAAGAGCAAGCCTCCCTGTGGGGAGTGATCTCTGCCTCAGGAGTAACGTTTAGGAGTTCTTATCATAGGATTTGTCATTCTCGTGTTCAGTCTCCAAATATGTATGCCAAAAATTGCTGGGTCTAGGGACTCTCAACAATTTCAGACTCTGTGTTAAGTAAGTTTTTATTTTATTTTAGCTGGAGTGGGCTCCACTCAACAGAAAGAGGTCGTTTTCATCAGTATCCATCTAGCTGTAAAATTTTCCAAAACAATTAATAGAATAATAGAAATGTAGAGTTGGAAGGACCCTGAGGATCAACTAGTCCAACTCCCTGCAACACACGAATATGCAGCTGTCCCATACAGGGATCAAACCTACAACCTTGGTGTTATCAGCACCATGTTCTTACTAACTGAGCTATCCAGGCTGAACTATGCTAGGAATGAAAACATTTAATCTGTTTTGTCATTATATCCAGAATAAGTAGCCCAGCACCAGTTAAAACTAATAAACTGGATGGAGTTGCTATTTAGCTATTAGACGGAGATATTTAATTTTTCTTTTCTATTCCTTTCACATGTTGTTCACTAACATTTAAGAGAAAAAAAGCAAATTAAATGGCGATAAAGGTACTACAGTCACTCAGAATTTTATTCTAATACAGGAAATGTGCATCGCTGAAGAACCTTTAGAGGAATTCACTTCAAGACACAGTTTGGAATGGAAATTTTTGTTTCTGGATCACAGGTTGGTTAAAAAAAGAAGACGACTATACTTTATGTTTTCTTAGACAATTTACTACTGTTTATTTATCGTATTTATTTGAAGTTACCTAATTGTCCTTCATCAGAGGATTACGGGGCAGTGTTCAAAAGTGTGAGAATGATGCAGACACAATATATTTATGCAATGGGTGACCTATGACAACATCTGCCTGATTGCACTGTGTGGCTTCAGATTTCTCTTCTGCACCATCCAGCCTTCTGTGTGCCCCCAAAATGTGTTCCATATAGTTGCGTTGGATCTCTCCCAATAATATAGTTAAACTAAAAGACTTGACAAGCAACAAAATCCAGACCAGGCAAAAAAACAACAACCCCATAATACTAAAGGAAAAAAAATACTGTCATCTTCTGTCTTCATGTTTTCATTTTTAATGTGCAGTACCATGCATCTTGCTGTCCATACATCTGAGGTAAACGTGGTTAGTTTCACCTATTTTTTCGTGTACCCTTTCCCCCCTGTTATTACTTACAATTATGAAGAGTTATCTGGCTTTAATGGGTTTTAAGGTAGAAACAAGGGACGTGGGTGGCGCTGTGGTCTAAACCACTGAGCCTCTTGGGCTTGCCGATCAAAAGGTCGGTGGTTCGAATCCCTGCGACGGGGTGAGCTCCCGTTGCTCGGTCCCTGCTCCTGCCAACCTAGCAGTTTGAAAGCACGCCAAAAAGTGCAAGTAGATAAATAGGTACTGCTCTGGTGGGAAGGAAAACAGTGCTTTCGTGCGCTGCTCTGGTTCGCCAGAAGCGGTTTAGTCATGCTGGCCACATGACCCAGAAAAACTGTCTGCGGACAAACGCCAGCTCCCTTGGCCTGTAAAGTGAGATGAGCACCGCAACCCCAGAGTCGCCTTTGACTGGACTTAACCGTCCAGGGGTCCTTTACCTTTTGCCTTTTTAAGGTAGAAACACTTTAAAAACTCATTGCAACATTTTCCCGAAGCACTATAGCAGCGCTTGGAAGTTTTTATTGCTTCATGACATCTCAATCTAAACCAGTGACTTAAAAAACAACAAGAACCTGGACGATGTTTGTTCCCATCGCTGAGAGACATATTTGGAGGCCTGTCAACATACTGTGCACAGTTGTGAATTAACCAGTCCTGTCGCTCTACAGAGTGAACTTGTGTAAACCTTCCTGCTTTATTTCTACCTTTCGTTCTACCTTTCTGCTTTCCTTCATTTATTTTAAGCACTTTATTTTAAAAAATGGTGAGCTGTGCACAAGAGGTTTTACCTCCCTGCTGAGTTCCAGTAATACGAAGCAGTCTCAAATAGTCTGTTGCCCTGCTTATTGTTTTAGTGCCTAGGTGGAGTAACTTCCAGAGGTTTTGGGGTGGGAAGAGAGAATAAGGGTTGAGCACTGCTGATGATATTTTTAATGGTTTAATAAAATCATTTGCATTTTACCGTGATACAGAGCACCACCGATTATAGGATATTTGCCTTTTGAAGTGCTGGGAACTTCTGGATATGATTACTATCATATAGATGACCTTCAGCTCTTGGCACGCTGCCACGAACACTGTGAGTATGACATTACCTACTGTAAGGGGAATTCAGTTTGTTTCCGTGTGATAGCAAAGATAGAAATGAAAATCTGAAGACATTGGGTTGCATCCAGCTCAACTAAACCATTGGTTTTAGCAATGGAGCTCCCCCTCCTTCTCCACACACACACACACACACACACACACACACACACCCTGCTGGTGATACTAGTAAACCTGTTAGTGAATAATATTTTGTTTGTTTGTTTGTTTCTCTCTCATTGTTACTGTACAAGAATGGAATTTCCACTGCAGAAGTACTAAAATGCCTTAATTCCTTTAACTCTTTCTTAAGCAAATTATCAGTTATACAGGATTCCAAATTCTATTCTCTTTTTATTTCTTCAAATATCCTTCAGTATTCTCAGTTAATATACCTATGAATAATTTAGGAACGAATCCATTTTATAGAGTTTGTGGCAAAATTCTGTTCTCGGATCAGCATCTTGGAGGATTTAATCACACACCCTAAATGGTACATTTTTTCTTAGCAACTAGTGTAATTCTAACCAATAGAAAACATGCTCCCACATGCATTCTTGTTGCTGTGTCCTGTACCAAACTGAAGTTTCCGAAGCCCCTCTTAAGAAAGCTGCATGTAGATCAGCTAAAATCATTTTTTTGAAAGGATGTTTTTCAGATCTTGAAATCTTTGATGCCGTGTGCATTTTTTGTGTGTCCACAAACAGTAATGCAGTTTGGCAAAGGGAAGTCTTGCTGCTACCGGTTTCTGACCAAAGGACAGCAGTGGATCTGGCTGCAAACACACTATTATATCACCTATCACCAGTGGAACTCCAAACCAGAATTCATCGTATGCACCCACACGGTAGTAAGGTATGGAGAAATTGAGTGACGTTGCTGTTGTGCTGATCGGTAGAGTACTCATTGCAGGACAAGAGCAAATAAAAGCTTGGTTAAGAGACGCACATAGGACAACCACTCCTCCTTATTTTTCTGTCACATTGAAAAGGAACGTCCAATATGTTATGAGCTAGGGGGAATTTCTTACTGAGCTTAGTGCAAGAATAAACTCATTCTTTCTACCGTGCTAGCTTTAAATGCCACATACGAAGACATTTGTGAGGTGACTGCATATATAACACAACCTTGCTACAGCAAAGGCGATGTGAAGCTGACCAGTGTGTCGATTGGCCAACTCTCTAGCATTCCACCCTCATCTTTTTCTTAGTCTGCAAAGATGAACATTGCCAGTGCCACCTCGCGAGATAATGTCGCACAAATGTCTTGCTCCACGGAGAAATCTGCATACGGTTGCATTACAAGCAGCCACCACAACATTTATTGCATGTGCTAATGTAGTCTTTGAGGACTACATCAGGGCCCTAGTTTGGTTCTGTGGTAGTTAATCTAACTTTTAAGGGGCAGTCTTAGAGAGTTTGAGCATGCTGGGTGCAATGGAATAAAACCACTCATGGGTCACAGGGAGTACAGTGGTACCTTGGTAGTTGAACGACTTGGTTCCCGAACAAATCGGCTCCCCAACATGTGGGTGCTCGGTTTGCGAACGTTTTTCGGAAGCTGAACGTCCGACGCGGCTTCCACAGCTTCCGATTGAGTACAGGAAGCTCCTGCAGCCAATCAGAAGTCTTGGTCTTTGAACCATTTCGGAATATATTAAATTTGAGAACCAAGGTACCACTGTAGTTAGACTAAGGCCATCTTGCTGAGGTACTTGCTTCATTGATGAACACTCTTGTCTGGAAATAAGGCATATGCTTTACTATACAATCAATTGTTATCCAGCCAAATTGTCCCTTTCATGCAAGGACTTCTGCTTGAAAATTGGATTTTCTCCCCCCTGTGCACCCTCCAAATCTTTTCAAGGATGGATGCAGGAAGTGGAGACAGAGGGGAAGTTCAGTTGTGCAAGCAGAAGACTTTGTATAGACAAGATGACTTTGTTGGAAACAGCCCAATATTTTGTTACAAACATTAATTCTGTATTGGCATGCTAATTGGACTCTAGAGAAATACTTGGATTACAATCATATACCTGCTAGTTTGGGAGGTAGAACAATTTCATGCATTATACATAAGCCTTTCTGCAGTTGCTAACCTGTACTTGGGGTGTGGTAGGGACAAGGCTAATCATGAGTATATGTACCAAAATTGTATACAAGATTGCAAATACGTGTTTACACGTGAACTTTTTCCAAGTATGTATGAAGAGCATCATGTGAAAAGCCATGGAACCTAGTCTCAAGTAATTATAGGATTACAGATAATGTTTTCTTTTTGTTTTGAAAACCAGGTAAAAATGGGCAGAAGCTAAACATAAAATGTAATCCATTACATTATTATACACATTTGGATTGTATGACTTGTGGACTTTAACTGCAAATAATTTCTGGAGTTAATCATGTAATTAACTGCCAGTTGCATTTAATAGTGCTTTCAGAATAGTGGAATGGAATGTAGATCTCCACAGAAAATAATAATGTTCAGTTATGCAGATGTTCGAGTGGAAAGGCGACAGAATATGATTTTGGAAAATGCACCTTCAGAGATCATCTCTTCAGTACTAAAGGTATGTTAAAATGGCTGTTTTCAGAGGGGTTTTTTCTGTTTTCTACTTTATTCAGCTCATATGTCAGTAATCACCAACCTTGTGTATCATTATTTAAGTGGTGTAGGTAGGTGGTGTGAACTTAACGTAATGGAGTAAGACATGGCTGGGAATACATTCCCGTTCTATTTTCCAGAATACAATTGCAGAAATGAGGGAATGGGAATGGTAGCATGCAAAATAAGAGATATCCATTATGACCTTTGGGACAATCATGTGCCTCTGAAAGGGAATAACTTTTTAAATGTAAAGGGTAAGACACATAGGGTGACTTTAGCTACTGTGTTCAGATGGTAATAATGTGTATTGATTTGATCACTAATATTGTCCCATATTGTCCCAAACCTGGGGTTTTCTTTATGTCTTCCATTGTCTGTTCCTCACTATGGTCACTGCCTGCTAGGTTCACTGTCCCTTAGTTTATAAGGCGATGAGTAATCTCAGATAAGCCTACTTTCCACCTGATTTGTGTTGAGGGTGTTCTTGATTGGTTGCGTGTGGTGTTCTTATGCAATTTTTTTCAATCCCTGTGTCAATACAAAGGTCACAGCAGTTGTACAAATGCATACCTCTTTTGATTTTTGAAGGACCAATCATGGGAGGTGACAGACAAGCAAGCCCCCTGCCCACATAATCTCATGGTTGAGTATAAAATTGAAAGAATATGCGAATTTGATACTAGAGCATATAGGAAGAAGCAGGCAATGAAAGGCAGATGCATTATAAGCCAAGAATTAAGAATCATTTCTTTTGAAGTTCTCTGGGGATTGGCCTGGGCTCATTCCTGAGTACATAGCTTCCTGCCTATTAAAGCAGATTATACAGTAGCTGCATCTAAGGACTGAGTTCTTGTGATTTTCACTGCTTAATGAAGTTAATAACTGAGTCTTTTATGAGTATCTTACAGAAAACTACTTGAAGCTTCTGTTGCTCAGAAACGTGGATACAAAAGGCCAGGCTAGATGTGATGTTAAACGCTGTATTGCATACTGAAGACAGTAAAAAATGGGTGCACTTTAACCATGTGATACATGGAGTTAAAACTGCAATTCTAGACACACATTATTGTTATTGCTATTGTTGTTGTTGTTGTTGTTAATTCAATTTATGAATCACTTCATGTGAAACAATCTCAAATCAATTAACAATGAAGACATAAAATCCTAAAATATACACTAAAAACAGTTTCAAATCCAGTACTTGGATAAGCAGCTCCACACAAAAGGCTTGTGGGGAAAGGAAGGTCTTCAGTAGACTCTGAAAAGACAATAGACAAGACACGTGGGTGATATGTAACAGCAGGGAGTTCCAAAGGCCTGGTGCTGCCACATTAAAGGCATGATTCAGACATTGTGCGGAACAGACCACCTGATGAAATTGCATCTATGCAATGCTGTCCTGCACAGGTTGAGGCAATCTTTTATGTATCCTTGTTCCGAGCTGCATAAGGGCATTGTACACCAGTAACAGCACCTTCAATTTAGCCTGGTAGCTAGTTGGCAGCCAGTGCTTTTCTTTGAGAAGCAGAGAAACATGGTTGCAGTATTCTGTCCCAATGAACAGTCGAGCTCACTGGGAATTTCTAGGGAGCTGTTCCCATCGAACACAAAGGCGCTTACTTCTGAGTAAGTGTGTATATAGGGTTGTGCTGATACTGAAAAAAGACCTCTCCCTCAATAAACCCAGATGATTTATAACCAAATTCATTTGTAAGTTCGAAACTTTCAAAAGCGTTTAGGATGTTTGCTTTGTTTTTTTAAGGACAGTGGATCAGAACTGGATCCTCAACAGCACTTTAACGCTCTTGAATTAGACACGTCAATCCTCGACACCAGTCGGACTCTTTCTGTATCCTCTCAGGGCTCACACAAATCTTTGCCTACATCCTTGCCTGACACAGCATGTAAGTTGTTATTGTTTATTAAATTTGTATACCGCCCTTCAGATGTGGTCTCTATGCAGATGCTACTTTGAAACTGATAATTTTATACTGTTATACTGCCAGTATAAGCCAGAATGGTGTGGAAAGAGTAACGCAGGCCTGCACGCATGGAGCATGACCAACAGAAAGGATAATTCTAACACAACAGGGCATTGTCTTATTTGAAACATTTACTACCTGCTAGTTATTGGGGTGCAATTTCAGAGTGGGTTACAACATCAACTCCCTTCTGCTCCAGCCAGAGCTGTAGTCCAGAACTAGAGGGTGCAGGTTGACAAAAGCTGGTGGTTTTGTTCTATAGTCAACTTCCTTTATTGCCATTCCAGTGACCCAGTCTTTTTGTATACATTAATAGAAACTTTTAACAACTCTGTTCTAAATGGTAAATGTTATTTTATAGCCACAAGAGCAAAGCTCATCCCAGAGTCTCCCTCCCTGCAAAGAAGTCCCACTATGCAGGAGGACTTGCAGAGATCTAGCCAACCTGCCGCTTCTCAGGTAAGGTGGAAAAAAAAGTTCAAGTGAACAGAAAGATTAAAAGAACATCCATGAAATAGATACACAGGTGTGTACCAAACTGATGGAGGACAGGAGCTTTGAATAGGTTTTAAGTTAGTGAGAGTAAAATGATTTTTTTGTTTTCACTTAATTGAATTGGGAGGCATAGCAAACTAAAACTTTTCCATTCATACTGGCATGACATGACCCTCTTGAGCATGCTCAGGAGTGTCTAGATGAATCAAGGGCTTTTCTTTTCTATGTCTAGGAAGTCCTCTCTGCCACTGGTTCCCCTGAAGTTAGAGACAATAAAAAAAATTTGGCAAGACACTTGTATGGAGGGGAAGGTACACACACAAACTGGAGTTATCATGATCAGAGATAGGTGCTCTAACTCTTCTGCCCAGGCTCTTTTTTCTAGCTATCAAGGAATATTTGCTGAAGCCGCCTCCTTTCACACTCTTATATTATTTTGACCACAGGTCGTCTGCACTTGTGGTCAAAGAGATATTAGTGCTGTAACACCAGTAATCAGTATGTGCTTATCTTGCGAATGATGGGAATTGTTAAGAGAAGGTATTAATTATATTTAATCCTCCAGGTACCCCCATGTGTGGGTTAAAAGGAAAAGAAAAATGGCTGGTGCCTGTTCTTAAAAACATGGGGCTAGCACATAGAGAGCCCCAGTAGCAGAGTATTAAACCCAGTCATTATGCATATTAATGAAGCATAGGAATAGGTTATTAAACCTTATTTAACTCCATTCAGCTGCGTGAAGCAGCTGACCCCCATTTTGCCACTTTTTCAGTGAAACCCTACAGACTGCAAAGTAAGTTTAAAATGCTTTACTTACAGCTTCTAGGTCTCGGACATGCATCATTCCTTATGCAAGATCAGTAATATAATGCAGGTAACAATATTCTTAGAAAGACAGCAAAGCAGTCTCATGGAACAAAAGTGACTGTACTTACTAGAAAAGTAACATTGCTCTTTGTTTTCTTGTTTCAGCTCTCATCCCAGTTTAACATGTTCCAAACTATCAAAGACCAGCTTGAGCAGAGGACTCGAATACTGCAAGCCAATATTCAGTGGCAGCAGGAAGAGCTGCAGAAAATCCAGGAACAGCTGTGCATCGTGCAGGATTCCAACATACAGGTTAGCGGGAGGACGTATTTTTCAGACAAGTTACTCTTGATTCAGTGAGTAGCAGAATTCTTGAGCAGAACTTTATTTCCACGCTCAAATCATCTTGATGCACCATAGGCCACCACACAGAGGAGGGTTTTCTGCATGCAGCAGTCCAGCTTACACAGCTGCTTCTTCAAGGGGCATTTTGCTTACTTCCGATTTCGGAACCTGGCTCAGGAAAACAACACCTTCTGCCAGCTATTCTTCCTGCAGTTCCCCACTTCCCTAGTTTACATAGGAATACATAGTGTTGGGACGCGGGTGGCGCTGTGGGTTAAAGCCTCAGTGCCTAGGACTTGCCGATCGAAAGGTCGGCAGTTCGAATCCCCGCGGCGGGGTGCGCTCTCGTTGCTCGGTCCCAGCGCCTGCCAACCTAGCAGTTCGAAAGCACCCCCGGGTGCAAGTAGATAAATAGGGACCGCTTACTAGCGGGAAGGTAAACGGCGTTCCGTGTGCTGCGCTGGCTCGCCAGATGCAGCTTGTCACACTGGCCACGTGACCCGGAAGTGTCTGCGGACAGCGCTGGCCCCCGGCCTATAGAGTGAGATGGGCGCACAACCCTAGAGTCTGGCAAGACTGGCCCGTACGGGCAGGGGTACCTTTTCCTTTTACATAGTGTTGGAAGCCCTCTGTTCCCAATGACAGAATAAGAGGATTGACATTGAAAGACTTAAGAGAAAAGTGTAGGTGCGTGGTCTGAGGTTCAATCTGTGGCATTTTCACTTAGGAAATAGCAAAGCTGCCAAAGACTTATGCCTCAGACCTGAGAGAACAGTTGCCAGTCAGAGCAGGAAATACTGGGATAGATGAACCTATGATCTGATTCCATATAAGGCAACTTCCCAGATTCATTTGGTCAGGAGCCCCTTTGGTTACACTTTTGTTTCTCATACATAGCAGAGAATGGACTGACCTAATGCTTTCAGTTAGTGTAACAACAATATTTCAGTATATTTAAGGCAGAGAGGACAAAATAAGTGTCAAATAAAATATGCTGATCCATACTGAAGGAGGACAGAAAATTCAGCAGAGACTTCAAGAGTGAAAGAAATGAAAGGATTGGATAGAGCTGGTAGATCGTGATCTACTGGTAGATCACTGGAAGTCTGTGGTAGATCACCGGTAGATCAGTGGCTCCCAGCAAAGAAGCTAAAAAACTTTGGCCTCCCCTAAAAAAACCTTCAACATCTTTGCCCTGCACCCCTAAAATGACCCGAACCACCAAAAACAGGACTTTCCTTCCTAAAAAAAGCTCAACAACTTTGGGCTGAACCCCATAACTGCCAGTTTTTAACTCTGTGAGTAGATCGCAGTCTCTTGGAAGTTGGCCACCCCTGGGATAGACTTATGGTCATTGTTCCTTAATAGTACCTTGTAGAGAGAGAAATATAGAATGAAACACAAAAGCTCAATTTTAACCCGTGCTACAGCACTGTAGCTGTAGCTACAGACGCGGGTGGCGCTGTGGTCTATACAACAGAGCCTAGGGCTTGCCGATCGGAAGGTCGGTGGTTCGAATCCCCGCGACGGGGTGAGCTCCCGTTGTTCAGTTCCAGCTCCTGCCCACCTAGCAGTTCTAAAGCACGTCAAAGTGCAAGTAGATAAATAGGTACCACTCCGGCAGGAAGGTAAACAGCATTTCCGTACGCTGCTCTGGTTTCACCAGAAGTGGCTTAGTCATGCTGGCCACATGACTTGGAAAAACTTTCTGTGGACAAATGTCGGATCCCTCAGCCAGTAAAATGAGATGAGCACCGCAATCCCAGAGTCGTTCGCGACTTGACTTAACTGTCAGGGGTCCTTTACCTTTATCTTTTTACAGCACTGTTAGGGATATCTTCTTCTTCGGCGATCGCTCGTAGCCGAGTAAGATTGTCTTCCATAAACACGGTTTTAACAATGAGTCCGTTGGTCATGGGGCTACATGGAAAGTATGCAATTTATTAATGCAATTTGAAGAGACTTGCTGGGACCACAAAAAGAGAATTAAGGGGCTATATTTGGCATGTAGCAGAAAAGCAGCCCGGCAATATTGTTGAAAGGAAATAATATGGGTAGAATCAAGCCTTACAGGGAAAATGTCACCTTCAGCAGTTTGTTAGAAACGGTATCTTTGAAATAAATGTCTCATAGCTATAAATTTAGCGTGGCATCCTTGCTTCCGATACATTGTAAAAATAATTGCTGTTGATAAGAGCTTCCTGGTTCGATCAACGCAGATGGTTAAAATGTCTGGTTTCCATAGAACAGCTTTCTTCCGTTGTCTCCCTAATATGATGCTGTCTGTTTCTAGATGCAAGAGGTGTTGTGCTTTCATGTCTTTTGCTTCTTTCATGAGAATACTAATGAGACTGCCAATTAGAAGAGATTAGTAATACTCTTCTCATGTCTTGACACCCTGAAAAAGTAGTTGTGAGATTCTGCAGTGGCGTTATCTACTTAGACTTGTTTACGATGTTGAAGGGGGTGGGGGGAGGAATCCTTTATTTTCAGTGGCATTTCAGTTCTTAAAAAGCTTTAAAAGTACTTAAAAAGTACTAAAAGCTTCCACTGGAATTCATAGCCGGCAAAAGGAAGTTGTCTTTTCAGAAAAAAAGTATAGGGATATGATTGTTGGAGGCTGTCTTCTTCTTCTTCTTCTTCGGCGATCACTTGTAGCCGAGTAAAATTGTCTTCCATAAACAACCAAGCTACTTATTGGACAGGAACACATTTGCTAAAATTCCAGTGGAAGCTTTTTCTATCTTGGGGTGAGATGGGGATAATGTCAGCAGAAAAGCGTGTGTGCTTAACCCCCTTTCCTGATAACTACTTTTCTCCCCTGTGGGGTTGCACACACATTTCCCCATCTGGAATCCCATGAAGAGGGAAGTAGAAGAAAACAATTTGAAGCAGAAAAACTGGGGACAGGGAAGAGTTTACCACCAGCAGCCATCACTTCTCTGCTCTTATTTGCTCCCTCCAAAAGCTCATTTCCCATAAACCAAGTGTTAGTTGCAATTTAGTAACGTGTTTGCTTGTAACATCTAGTTTGACCTTCAAATATTTGCAAGAATTATGTATGTCAGAAAATATTTGCAAGAATTATGTATGTCAGAAAATATTTGCAAGAATTATGTATGTCAGAAAATATTTGCAAGAATTATGTATGTCAGAGGTTTCTGAGTGAATAGGATGACAAATGTATTCTGTTCCTGAATAGTGGATTTGGTTTTCTAAACAGTGTCAGTCCTTCCACAGCTGGTTTAAGGTGCATTGCACATGTAATATTTGAGCAATTCTTATCCAATGCTTGATTTGGAAAGAGGTGACATGCAACTTTCCCTGTAGAAACTTCTCTGACAGCCCCAGATGTGTGACAGGTGGCTGTGCTTATGCAATTGTGTGGGAAATGGACTTTCTGTGTACTCACAAGCAACTTCACACAGTCTTCTAGCATTAAAAGCATTTTCAGCAACTGAGGCCTGGATCAAGTTGAGCTCCCTAATGATACACATTTATAAGCGTTAAGTTATGACATCTTGAAATTGGAACTGTGAATGTATTTCTTCCATTGATTTACCTAACAAGGAAATCGAAAAAGTAATCACCTTTCTCTTCCAGATGTTTTTACAGCAGCCAACAGCACCTCTGAATTTCAGTGACATGCCGCAGCCAGAACCTCAGGGGAAGCCAGCGGTTGAGTCTCAGCAGCAAGTTTTGCCGAGGCCTTCGAGGCCTTGTCTCCAAGAGCAGATTGTGGCTCCTCAAGCAACAGACCATCAAATGTTAGGAGAAGAAAATGTGTTATCAAACCAGGTCTTACAGCAATCTTTTTGTGGAAAAAATGTTCTCTTCTTTAAACATTACTTTAAGTCTTAGGTTCATCTTCAATCCTACCTCTTTTGATTCTTCATTTAGTTCTTACAGCATTTCCTGTACTGTAGTTCTTGTTTGCCTTTAGGTATTACGGCAATATCGCCTGCCCTTTCGCTCTTTCCACTAAGGTTTGTGTGAATCTGTGTGTTCTAGCTATCCATAATCACCATTCTTGGGGGGGGGGGGAATCTTTAAAAAGGGTAAATTACCAGACCTACATTCAATGAATATGAATTTATTTCCCTACTTATCGGTCACTTTACATAATTACACCTTTATGAGAGAATGGAATGAACTAAATTTGGATCTGGCAAAAAAATATTCACAACTTAATTCTATGTGTTTTTACAATATACCCAAAGCTTTTGGTTATTGTTTCTGTGGGTGCTGTTTTTAACTGTTCTAGGATCAGAAATCAGCAAGAGCCTCACAAGGAATGCAGGATAGCTGTCAATCTTCCAGAAGCTTAACCTCACAGTTTAGCAATGCCTCTGTGCTCCCACAGTCTTTGAGCAGAGCTCCACCTGATGCCATTCTACAGGATAACAGCCACCAGCAGAGCACTCCAGATTTCAGTAATGATCGACAACTGAGGTAAAATAATTGAAGTAACCTACTTTTTTTAAAAAAAAAAGTCGAAGAATTAAATACTATTTTTTACAATGGCACTATTTAAATTTGAGTGTTTAGTTTATTACTATATAACAGGTAAATACTGTACTTTGAACATTAAGAAAATACTCCATTTTATCAAGTTACAGCACTAGATTATTAGTAAGTTTGAAAGAAAAAAAGAGGAACGTGGTGCTATTATTGTTTATTCAATTTCATACCTATCCTATACCACAAGGTTCCAGGGTTGGGTTACAGAAATGAAAAATTGAATATTAAAAACAGTATCAGAATGAGGATGGAACAAACAGACTTGTGGGTTACAGGTAGGTAGCCATGTTGGTCTGCCATAGTCGAAACAAAACAAAATAAATAAAATTAAATTAAAAAATTAAAAATTTCCTTCCAGTAACACCTTAGAGACCAACTAAGTTAGTTATTGGTATGTGCTTTGGTCTGCATGCACACTTCTTCAGATACAGACTTGTGGGTTGTTGTTTTTTCTAAATGATGTTAGCACTATGTATTTGCCTTAAAAAGAGAAAGAAAAGATACCGTTTACTTCTTTGTTCTGTTTTGAAAAAGTTTTTAAACCGATGACTGGAAAGAAAATACAAGGAACAATAAGTAGCTTGAAATAGAAAACATGTCCCTGTAGGAAACATAATGTGAATGGGGGGGGGGTGGAGGGAGAGAGGACCTTACATCTCCACACTAACTGCATCATGCAGTTAGCTGCCGTTTCAAACTACCTGGGGCAGAAGAAAGCATATAAAGCCTACTTTATGTTCTGGACTGGCAAACTGAATGGAAGCTCTAATAGCCAACTTAAAAATCTGATAGCCCAATGCTCACTAGATTTCATCAGAATGCAGGACTGTCATAGAAGATGGCTGTTACTTGAGGCAGGAACATCCACCACATCACAGGTTGAGAGCATGAAGACGTTACAGTCAAACACTGTGGCAGATAATTTGCCACAGGGAATTTCAGCGATCTTTGTTTACCAACCACAATATGTAGATCCACTCCTAAGAAGAATGAAACTCCTTATACAGTCATACCTCGGGTTAAATGTGCTTCAGGTTGAGCGTTTTCAGGTTACGCTCCACGGCGACCCGGAAGTAACGGAGTGCGTTACTTCTGGGTTTCGCCGCTCGCGCATGCGCAGTCAAAATGCCATCATGCGCATGTGCGGAAGCGGCGAATCGCAACCCGCAGACGCAGGTTGCATTTGTTTCAGGATGTGAACGGGGCTACGGAACGGATCACGTTCGCATCTAGAGGTACCACTGTATAAGAATGGCCACATTTGATAATAAATCCTGAGCTACCCTTTTTTTACTACGATTAATTACACTCTGTGGGGACGCGGGTGGCGCTGTGGGTTAAAGCCTCAGTGCCTAGGACTTGCCGATCGAAAGATCGGCGGTTCGAATCCCCGCGGCGGGGTGCGCTCCCATTGCTCGGTCCCAGCACCTGCCAACCTAGCAGTTCGAAAGCACCCCCGGGTGCAAGTAGATAAATAGGGACCGCTTACTGGCGGGAAGGTAAACGGTGTTTCTGTGTGCTGCGCTGGCTCGCCAGATGCAGCTTTGTCACGCTGGCCACGTGACCCGGAAGTGTCTCCGGACAGCTCTGGCCCCCGGCCTCTTAAGTGAGATGGGCGCACAACCCTAGAGTTGGACACAACTGGCCCGTATGGGCAGGGGTACCTTTACCTTTAATTACACTCTATCCCTGAGCCTACTGCAGATTTAACTCTATTGACTTCTGAGCATGCAACTACCTCACATGGAAAAAATCCTTCCGACCCTTTCAGTATCTGCAGGTTAGTGTCATTCTTCACTGACATTATTTAATTTCCTGTTTCCTAGACTGTTACTCAGTCAGCCTATTCAGCCAATGATGCCTGGTTCCTGCCATGCGAGGCAGACAACAGATGTTGATGTGACTGGACACGAAGCTAAGTATGTAGCATGTTGCTGGGGGCAGGGGTAGGAAGGAAAAGTTTGAAACTATGCTGAGAAATGCCACTTAGATGGAGGTGGTAGAACGGCAACTCATCCAGAAGGTAGTACTTGGGTTAAGCAGTCTATGTCAGAGATGGAATTAAGGGTGGCTGCATATTTTGAAAATCCAGATGTTGTCCTGCCATATCTTATCTGCCCCGCTGCCAAGCTCCCGCAATTGCACGGTTTTTCAGATCCCAGTTACCCCAGTACATTGTTTCTCTCATGCATCATGCAATGCTATTTTTCTAGAAAAAGAGGTGCCAGAACTCACCATGAACAGCACCCTTGTTCTCTTAGAATGGCAATGGCGCCTACCTGAGAGGTGCCGGAACAGAGTTCCAACGAGTTCTGGCTGGGAAAATGCCCTGCCATCATGTTGTCATGCCAACTGGAGAATGAAAGGGACCAGGTTTGGTGAAAGTGTTGCAATCAAGGAAATCTGGAGCCTGCCACTTGGAACATTATCTTGCTGATATTGTATCAGAAATTTCTAATATACCTCCTATGGCTGGTTCTTTGCTTTTAACCCATAAACACACCATTTCTAAAGATGTGTCCACATATTCTCAACCCTCTGGGCTACCCCAGTAAAAAGGTAAAGGGACCCCCTGACCATTAGGTCCAGTCGTGACTGACTCTGGGGTTGCGGCGCTCATCTCGCTTTATTGGCTGAGGGAGCCGGCGTATAGCTTCTGGGTCATGTGGCCAGAATGACTAAGCCGCTTCTGGCGAACCAGAGCAGCGCACAGAAACGCCATTTACCTTCCTGCTGGAGCGGTACCTATTTATCTACTTGCACTTTGATGTGCTTTCGAACTGCTAGGTTGGCAGGAGCAGGGACCGAGCAACGGGAGCTCACCCTGTCGCGGGGATTCGAACCGCTGACCTTCTGATCGGCGAGTCCTAGGCTCTGTGGTTTAACCCACAGCACCACCCACGTCCCATGGCTACCCCAGTAGCAGCAACTAAAACAAAAATGCTTAGTTGCATCACCCTCTGATCAGCTTCTTCCTTTTCCCACACTGCCCCACTCCAGGTCAGCCTTCTCCACTTCCAAGATGCCACTAGGTATGCACAATATATATGCCCAGGAGTTATGTGTAGTAATGAATGTGCCTGGCTTTTTCAATGCATCTCCCAACAATCGGCATATCTGCATAGTCCCCGAGTCAGCAGCAGCACCTGCTATTTCTCCCAACCGTTGTCCATAATACATTGCAGTATGACACCAGTGTTTTAGTCGCAAATTCTTGGCTGAAAAACTTAGGACTGTTTCTTTGAATAGATACTTTCAAAGCCTACAAGTGTTCCAAAGTTTGGAAGAGCAAACCTCTGGAAGCAGTACAGCTACAGTGCTGATGGGACAAGCAGTGTTGCCCCCTGGGTTCTCTGCAGCACAGCCATCTCAGCCTCCAACTTTGCAACCTATGCATCAGCACCAGCACCAGCAGCAAGGCTACCTTCAGGTGGGCTGCAACAGAACTGACAGTACCTAAATGGGTAAGCCGCCCTGAAAGTATTTTTTTCAGCTGAAGGGGCGGCATACAGGGTTTTTGTTTTTTTTGTTTTAAATTAAATTGTGCAGTTATTCATAAAGTAATAAAGACCCTCACATTATTTTAAGAATGGCAGAAGAAATATGACATGGTTGTTTATAAACCCTTTTTTATTAGGAATGCTAAAAAAAAAAAAAAAATACAAGAACTCACAATGAAAATGCAGGAAGTACATAAACAACTAAAATATTTCTTCAGTTGTTATTTATATCAGATGTCCAACTGATTTATTAATGTTCTCAAGCCACAGCTAGCACTTCTAGACGTACATTTTTTGGGGGGTGTTGCAGTTCTAATATCATTTGATCGGAGTCCACAGTGTCAACCATTTTGTTTTCTTTATTTCTTTAAATACCTTTTGTAAATTAGTCCATAGTTGTCTGTGTTGCAGTCTAATGTTAAATCTCATATTCCCAAATAAAGTAACCATAGGCAGGAATAGGAATACAGGAAGCTAGCTGCCTTTGGTTGGACTATTGGTCCATCTCGCTCAGTATATTCTGCGACTCTCCAAGATTTCAGATGGCAGGGATCGTCTGCACACAAAGCAGATGCTAGACCACTGAACCTTGACAAATGGAGGCTCATAACCAATAATCACTATACAAAACTTTTAGTGACTCCCAACTCAGGCCCAGAATACACTGGAGTGTCTTGGCATATTACCAAGGATGTCTTAAAATCCTACCTGAATATTCTATCCATTTTGTTTTCTTACCAACATAAGTCCAAAGCTCAGCTGACTCTACATAATTCTATGTGCCTTTTATAATTCTATATAATTATATATAAAAGTCTATATAATTCTATGTGCCTTTTAAATATGATGGAGGAACTCAGACTCCCAGTCAATGATATCCTCTGCTCTGGATACAATTCCCAATTGACTGTGCTCCTCATTTGGAATATCACTGAGGAAGTGAGGTTTCAGGAGATTGTGGCTTCTGTGTCTTGGAAACATCTGCTCACATTTTATGCACGTCAATATGTGATCTGGAGCAGACACATTTGATTATGCTGGAAACTTTGCAGTGGGACACCAGGTTCTAAATCTAACTTCAGCACAATGTGAGTGTCTGGTGTATTTCCTTTTGTTTTATGGATCCTGCTAATTTCCTTGTTCCTTTTGTTTTTTCCTTTTGCAACACAAAAGCTCCCTGAATAATTATTGTATTGTCATTGACTGCTTTTGGCTTTATAGCAAGTAACTTCCCTTTTAAAAAACAAACAGCCATCATTCCTCCCACTAAAATGGTAAGCATGAAGTGTGGCAATAAGATAAAATGGAGTCCCATAGGGGGGAAAGGCGGGGTATAAATGAATAAATAAATAATTGCACAAGCCCAAATATACCCACTATAGGAATACAAAACATGCCCACAACAGAAGGTTCTTGACAGTAAGAGGCCATCAGCCAAAGGCAGTTTATATAACAAATTTGAATACTACAGTCCTATTTTTTTTTTACTATGAATTAAGTTAAGCCCCGTTGAACTTAGTGGGACATATTTCTGAATAAACATACCTAGGATTGTGCTGCAAGTATTTTCATATGTGCCCATGGCAAACATGACTGTGATGAAACCATTGAAAGAGAAAGTGGAATTAATGAGCATTGCCAATGGAGGACAGAAAAGGAAGCCCAATTATTGGACGAAATGAGTAGGGAAAATCCACTTGCATTTTGTGATTGACTAAATTTCTGACAACTAGAGCTTATCAAAAAGTTCTCGTTCACATAAATCAAGGGCCACCAACCTTTTCATACCAGTGGTTGTTGTTGTTTAGTCGTTTAGTCATGTCCGACTCTTCGTGACCAGAGCATGCCAGGCACTCCTGTCTTCCACTGCCTCCCTGGCACACAATGACTGCTATGGGAGTGCAGTATAACACAACATGGCAGCCATGGAGGCATGGCATGGTGCGAAACTAGAGAGAGTACAGTCATTGCTGTTTCCCATCCTGCCTCCACAGACTACCTTTTATTTGCTACTGGAAGTCACCTATGTTCTCCTGGTCCTGATTGCGGAGATCACACAATACTGATGTTCCACAAACATAAGAGTGCTGTTGCTCATGACAACAGGGAGCATTCTGCAGTACCAGGGGGAAAAATATACAAAGGAGCCATCACATTCACTCTTTCTCACACAGACACACACAGATACACACACACACACCACTTGACCATTGCCATTTCCCAAGAATTGTTTTTTTCTAACAATATAAAATCCAAAAAATATACAAGGGCCGCCAATCCTTGGCATAAATGGTGCCAAGCTTCATTCATTGGCTTAGCTAATCACATTTTAAGTGTTCTGCAAACTATTGATCCTAGTCCACCAGCAACAGTTCCGTAGCAAAGTTTTTCCATATAAGCAGAGGGCACATCTCAGTAGTGGCGCCCACCCTGTGGAACGCCCTCCCATCGGATGTTAAGGAGACAAGTAATTATGAAACATTTAGGAAACATCTGAAGGCAGCCCTATAAAGGGAAGATTTTTAAGGTATGATGTTTTACTGTGTTTTTATATATCCTGGAAGCTGCCCAGAGTGGCAGATGGGTGGGGTACAAATAAAGTATTATTATTATTATTATTATTATTATTATTATTATTATTCAGAACTACTGTTTTTGATCTGCTAAACCATTATTTGACGGCATCCAATTTTGTTTCACATATAGGTAGAGTCTGCAGGCCCTTTGCACAGTGAGCAGGCAGATTCTTTGCTCTTACCTTCCTACCCTCGACAGGAAGAAAGCGTAGAGTTCCATCATATGCAGTCACAGCAACAGCAGCCAGAACCTGCTGCCAGGAGGACTGTCGGTTTGCCTGAATCCTCAAACATGCAACAACATCTGCAGTAGAATCTGCTGTAACAATCAGTACACATTTAGCTTTATTGAATGGTGGGTGGCTGGGCAGGAGGGAAGCCAGCATTTGCATATGTGTTCATTTCAGAGTTTTGTGATGTAAAGAGATTACCAAGCACAGACCTTGGTGGATAGTGCAATAGGAAAGGAACGGGAATTATTTTGCAGATGTTTGCACTATTTTGTGACTACATTATGTATATTAATACTAATACATACCATCATGTGCAAACTGGTATGTGTTGGTAGACGATTCTTCTGACTATTTTGACCAGAAAGTATTCTGGCTATTCCAAAAAAAAAAAAAAAGTGGGTACGAGTTACTTGGCCTTCACTATTTTGATCTTTTGAATATGAAAAGCACTGGTTCAGAGAAAATCTATTGAGAGAATGAGAGATTATTTTTATTAATATTATTATTATTTTGCACAACTGCACAAAAGGCATAACCTAGCACTTTCGGTGAATAAAAGTTTGTTCTGGTGGCCAGATAAGCACTTCCAGTGAGAGAGAGAACATGTTGTCCTTTATTTAAATAAAAAGCACCCTGCAGTTTATAGACCTTGGACTCATAACCTGAAAGTATTAAACTTGTTACCTCTCCCTCTTGCTATTTCTAATGTTTCAAAGAAATTACACTGGACATTTTCCTATTTACTTAGTGAACTACAATTGTAAACAGTGAACCGAAGCACAATCATGCAGCTATTATTCCAATGTACTAGTCGTGCTCTTTAAACACTTTGAAGAGAATCTTTTCTACTAACTGAACAGCCCCCTCACAACTGTTCATAGAACAAACACCTGAAGAATATGCACTGTGTTACAGCCCATTAAGTGGAAAAATGCTGCAACTATATTACATATCTTTCATTACTACGTTTAGGTTTGACTTTTCCTCCAAAGCGTTGCACTTTTGTATGCTTTATGTTGATGTTTCTAAAAAAAAAGATTTTATGTAATTATTCAATATGTAGCGTATAAAGAAGTTGTTGTAAACAAAACAAAACCCCAACCTTGACCTATTTCTATATAAAATAAAATTATATGGGATTATGTGAACATTATTTTGTTTATGAAAGACCAGCTCATTTCACAAGTGAAAAGCTTTTCCCCCTCCATGCTTTTTTGTGAGTTAATAGTTTGTAAAAAAAAATTGAAATATAGAAATATCAATTCAGGCCTTTAGCTTGGACATATGGGTGCCTGCAGAGAGCTGTTAATACAGCACCCTTTGCACCAGGCTTATATGAAACAAATGACTAGCCTGATGTGGGCTTTTTGCTAACCCTTCCTTTTCATTTTTCATTGTTTTACAGTCTGTTGACATGCTGATATTTGATGGGTAGGGTCTGTTGCAGTGCTTATTAATGCAACAATTTGTGAAGTATTGAGCATGTAGTATGGTGTTTGGTGGATAGAAGTGTCTTGTTATTACGGGGAACTTACTGCAGCATACATACCGCTATGGGATGTGGCTGGCGCTGTGGTCTAAACCACTGCCAATCGGAAGGTCAGCTGTTCAAATCCGCTTGATGGGGGTGAGCTCCTGTTGCTCTGTCTCAGCTTTTGTCAACCTAGCAGTTTGAAAGCACACCAGTGCAAATAGGTAAATAGGTATCGCTGCGGCGGGAAGGTAAACGGCATTTCTGGGCACTCTGACTTCAGTCACGGTGTTCCATTGTGCCAGAAGCGGTTTGAATCATGCTGGCCACATGACCCGGAATGTTTTCTGTGGACAAACACCAGCTCCCTTGGCCTGAAGTGAGATGAGCGCCGCATCCCATAGTTGCCTTTGACTGGACTTTTAACCATCCGGGGGTCCTTTACCCGTTTACTTTTATTTACATACCACTTTTTTTTAATAAGATATTTATTAGCGTTTTACAAAAAACATAGGTTTACAGAATAAAGAAAATTAAAACAGAGATTAACAAACTAAAAAGAAAACATAGAAAAGAGAAGAAAAAAGAATAACAAGAAAAATACAGGAATTACCAAAAAATACATAGAAGAGAAAAAAAAAGAAAATACAAAATACAAAAAACAAACAGCTAAGAAAAAATTTAAAAAATAAATCCATTTTTCAATATTTTTAAGCTCATTTGCTTGTTTCCTTGACCTCCTCACACCTCCCCTTTTTGTATTCCCATTTACATAATCAATTCAGCAAATCCTTACCCTCTTTCATTTATCTTAACTCTATTATTTACATACCACTTTTGTCCATACCCACTTCCCATGCAGTGAGAATTATACTACACCTTTGGCTACTGCAAATGGTACATGAGGTTGTATGCAATGCATTCTGCAGCAAAACACTATTTTGTAAAAATTTAGTTACCATATATTTAGTTACTTTTACTAGTGTATGCTTTGTTGGGGCTGGTGGAGCAATCAGTTTTGCTGCTTAGTATAGGTAAGTATAGGTATAGTATTGGTATACTATAGTATAGGGACGCGGGTGGCGCTGTGGGTTAAACAACAGAGCCTAGGACTTGCCGATCAGAAGGTTGGTGGTTTGAATCCCTGCGACGGGGTGAGCTCCCGTTGCTCGGTCCCTGCTCCTGCCAACCTAGAAGTTTGAAAGCACGTCAAAGTGCAAGTAGATAAATAGGTACCGCTCTGGCGGGAAGGTAAACGGCGTTTCCGTGTGCTCCTCTGGTTTGCCAGAAGCGGCTTAGTCATGCTGGCCACATGACCTGGAAGCTGTACGCCGGCTCCCTCGGCCAATAAAGCGAGATGAGTGCTGCAACCCCAGAGTCGGCCACGACTGGACCTAATGGTCAGGGGTCCCTTTACCTTTATAGGTAATTTTGAATTGCATTGCCTGATCACAGCCTTTCCAGCTAGGTTGTAACAAACTCACCGGCCCCAACGCAACACACAACAAAGGTTTTGCGCAACAATTGATCCCAGTGTAGAGATTGTGCATGCCATTTCAAACCACCGAGGTTGATAGGGTCTAGAGGAGCATCACAATTTGGATGCGCATTTCTGTTTCTATCAGTCCTCTTGAGAAAAATATGACTGCAAGCACACACCTGGGAGGGAAGAATGGTACTCCTGCTTTAAACAATCCTCTAGGAATAACTAGCAAAGGGTGAAGAGTTGATGTCTACACCTTTAATCTAGAATTTGGCTCCCTCTCAAATAAGCTTTTTATAGGGCTGAAAAGCAGTTATCACACACTGGAACCTTGATAACAAAGTCTCAAAACATCTAAAAGTCAAACAAATGTATTGAGGTCAGAGCCAGTTTCTGATGTAAGATTGTTGTTCTTGCTTCCAGAGATCCTGGCTGCAGCTGTAAACATGCTTAATAAGAGTAAAGATTCCCAAGTTGTGTGTTAGGTTAGAGAGGGGGCATAAGTGTACCTTTAAAAAGTAAGCATCTTGGGTTCTACTACCGTCTACTGGGGTGACTAATTACCTGTGGTCTTCCAAATCTTGCTGGACTACAACTCCCACAATTCCTGGCTATTGACAATGTTGACTGGAGCAGATGCAAATTGTGAGTCCATCAACATTTGGAGGACTACTCTTTAGCCACCCCTAGTTTACTTAGAAGCATAGATGCAGACATAATTCGAAGGGAACAAATTCAGCCCAGGCTACAGCTGACAAGCATGTGGGGGAGTCCCAGATGCATAACTGTTCTGAAATCAGGGTCCCATTTTTCAGTCCTGACTTCAGTAAAGAGGAGATTGGCAATATACTGGGCTGCCAATCCAATTGCAAGGAAGCTGCTTGACCACTGTTACAGGAGTCGGAAAAGAAAGTGGACTGGGAGATGAGATACTGGTGTGGAGACAGGGGATAAGCAGGTGTTTCCATCCTCTGTCATGATACCAGAATCCGTGTGTCTATGATTTTAAGAAAGACGGGAGATTCAGGACAGACCAAACTTGGTTCTTCACACGGCACAACCACTAGGGCAGCTGCCTCTGAATATCAGTGATTGGGCTTTATAAAAAGAGGAGTGGGGGCCTGTTCCGCTCATATCTTGGCATGGGATTCCCATAGGTACCCGACTGCACCACCAAAATGCACACACACCAAAATATTGGACCGCAGTGTGAGAATGACGGCAGCCGACTGCAATTGCATACAGTGCAAAGTTGGCGTGATCCCTAGTTTGCAATTTGGGGGTGTTCATAACCACGGTAATCACGCAAAACAAAAAAAAGCGCCGTAGTTTTTAAAATCACATTTATCACAGGCAGTAGAGATCCTTTATGCCTTTATGATGTTGCATCACCGCCGCCACTAAACCATTAAGTCTCCATTAAGCAGCTGCCACCTCTAAGGAAAAGGTGCGCGGGCGGGGAGGGGCGAACCACCTTTTAAAGCGTCACTAGCTCCTCCTCCAACGTGCCCGCCATAGAGACGGCCCAACCTCCCGCCGCTATCCCCTCTGGGAGCGCCGCTTAGCAACTGGTGATTCCTGACCCGGAAGCGCTCCTCGTATTTCCATTCGCCGTCTCTATGGCTGTTCCGGGTTCCTTGGTTTCCTCCCATAAGCCCCCGCGCCTTCCTTTCTGGTCTGGTCCTGAGCAGGGTAAGTAGCTCCGCTGGGAGCGGTTCTTGTTATCCGAAGCCATCCGCTTCTGTGGGCCTCGCAATGGCGAGAGCCCGGGTTGGGTGGCTGGCTGGGGCGAGGAGGAGTATCGGGGGACGGGTATTTCTGGGCCTGGCCTTGAAGTCTCGCCTGGCGGGATTGAGATTCCTTCCCTCCCCCCACCCCGCCGATGCCGCCGTGGCTCCAGCCTGGCCTAGGCCTGATATTACCTGAAAAGGCAGTGAGGACTAAAGCCACAGGACTTGGGGGGAACTGTTCTTTGAGCACACGTGTCGTAAAGGACATGGGGATGTGTGTTTGCAGCCTCAAAAGCCAACTGAAACAAAATCCGGCAATTCCATTCATATTAGTGAAAATTGGGGGCAGGAGTTTTCGCCTTTAGTGTTAATTAACATTTTGTGTGAGGAAGCAATAGTTTGGTACCGTTTGCACGTTGTGCGTATGGCACTGAATCATGTTTCAGTGCTGTATTCTTACAACTTGCAGTACTATATTCTTACAAAGGGGAGGTCTTCAACAGAATATTAATTTGTATCTTCTGGCAGAGTTTGAGCCGGCCCTCCCTTCACGAAACAAGGTGTAAGGAACTCAAACTGGGCTTTCTACTCCAAGACTGCTGTGTGGCATAAGATAACTTAAAGTTGCTGCTGTGCTATAAATTCATTCTCTCTCTTGCTCGCTGTGTGTGTGTGTGTGTGTGAGAGAGAGAGAGAGAGAGAGAGTGTGTGTGTGTGTGTGTGTGTGTGTGTGTGTATATATATATATATATATACACACACACACATATACACACCCACCCACCCACCCCAGTTTTATGTCCCCACCTCCAAAGTGTTACAACTGCAACAGCTATTCCACTCTGGTTCTGTTTGTGGTCTTCACATAAACCACCTGCTTGGCCACTATGAGAGCAGCAGGTTGATCTATATGGGCCTCTGGCCTGATCCAGCAGAGCTCATCTTGGCATTCTAGCTGACACTCAGCGTTCTTGGATTACTGGTTGTGCTTTTCCCTCACGGACTATATTTTTCTTGGGGGTAGGAGGGTTCCCCCCCCTTTGTCCCTAAATCACACCATTGCAACTCTAATCTTGTTGGCACTTTCCTTCTATTAGTGGAACTAGAGCATATAGAGGAGAGCAAAGGCAGGGAGTAGATGGCACAAAGGAAGAATCAGGAAGGAAGAATCTTTCCATTCACAATGCTGGAGTTGCAAGTGTACTTTCAGATTGTGGCACAAGTTTGAAAGTATATCTGCCTTTTCTTGTTCTGTCTTTTTTTAAATGTCCACATTAGATGCTCAGATCCTAATTGCAGATTTTCCACAGGCATCTGGTCAGAACAGGATATTGTAGTAGATGGGCTATTGGCATGATCTGACAGGGCTGTTCTGTTAAAAAAAACATTTTTGAGATTCAGCAGAGTCAGCTGCTTGTTGTATAGTAAAGTAATTTTAGCAACTGTGGACTCTCAACATGAGAGGGAGGCTGGTAGAAAATAAGACACTGGCATTAATAAACTGGAAGCTTTAGGGGATTTGTGCAATGGTGGTGAAGAGTGTGAGCCATGCTGAATTTTAAGCACTCAAGTTGGTGGCCTAATGTAAGCCACTATTTCTGAATCCTCCCACAGTTGAAGTATAATAATATTCACCTGGCTCACAAAGTTTATGTTAGCATTAATGGGGTAGTCTATGTGAAGTGCTTTGACATGCTACAAGCATTGCATATAAATAGTAGGTATTAGCAGAGCTGGTTTCACTTCTGTGGAGGTACTTGTTACCTGTACAGGTACTGTGCTCTTGCACATGAATGGTCAGAGACAAGAGTCATGGATGAGAGGGACTCCTTTATGATTAGGATCACAGGGCGTTTAACAATATAGAAACATAAAAATACATAACAGTAACAATTGAAAACAATAATTACCCAACAGTTTTAAAGGCCATGGAGTGTTCAATTAGCCAGAGGCCTGGAAGAATAATAATGTATTTGCCTGATGTCTAAATATTAATAGCATGTCAGAGAACACAAGGAGAGACTGCAACCAGGCTTTTCAAAGTCTTTTTAGAATTTTAGTCAACAACTAAAATTGTGGCTTTACATACTGGATGGCCTAAAATCTAGGCCATCTATTCCAGAAGGAGGAAATGCTGAACTCAGAGCCTCTGCATTTGGCAGGTGTCCGTTTCTGTCATTTTTGCTCTTATCATTGCTTTGTGGAGCTACTATTTAAGAAAATGATGATGATAGTATGTCATTGTGCTGTGTAAAACAAGCCTTTTGTGTTTTGACATGTGTAGATGGCTCCTGCAAAGAAAGGTGGTGAAAAGAAGAAAGGACGATCAGCCATCAATGAGGTTGTTACTCGGGAATATACTATAAACATTCACAAACGGATCCATGGCGTGTAAGTGGCAGTCCTTATTTTTTGTTCTTTCATTTTTTGAAAATGTGTTACACTGTTACTCAGTGCAGAAATTGGTCCAAGCGACTGTATCATCAAACATTACTTTGGAGTTAAAAGCTTTGTTAAAAGCTTAGAAGTACCATACTGATTGTTGCCTTGTAAAGAATCAGTTGTACTACAGAATATCTCAAGTTCTGTTGTAAGCCAAAAGGTTTACAGGTGGTCCTTAAGGCCCTTTTATATTCATGTGCAAAGGAAAATTCAGCTGTACCAGATTTTATGCTAAACAACCAAAAGTGTACTGATTTGAGTTAGCAATAGTTACCTAATATTATAGTTTACAGGAATTGTATTCACAGGTTTTAAAGAAAGCATTTGATTGTGAAAATAAATATGAATATTTATTTGCTGAAAAACGGCAAAACCTACACACACACTGGTACCTCAGGTTACAAGCGCCTCAGGTTACAAACTCTGCTAACCTTGAAAAGTTACCTCGAGTTGAGAACTTTGCCCCAGGATGAGAACGGAAATCGTGTGCTAACTGCGCAGCAGCAGCAAGAGGCCCCATTAGCGAAAGCATGCCTCTAGTTAAGAACAGTTTCAGGTTAAGAACGGACCTCCGGATGAATTAAGTTTGTAACTAGAGGTACCACTCTGTGGGTGTGGTTTGGGCCTCCCTTCAGTGTTCCAAGATGTGTGATTGGGGACGGGCAGACAAGTAAAAAGCCTGATAGAAAACAGCTTTAACCAATAAGTAAATGCTTATAATGAGGCGTTGCAAATGCTTGGCCAAATAACATAAATATGTTGACACTGCTATTTGTAATTAAACTCACTGGCATCCTGGCTTTGGGTTTAGGATGCAAGGTCACTGTTAAATTCAAGAGACATTGGGTAACTTGTGTAATGTTGGCACTATGATTGAGGGGGGAAATAGTCTCTTGGGTGTACTGTTGATGTACAATGGAACAGGTTTAGCGTTTTTCCTGTTTATAATGGGAGGTATTCGGAGTTCATGCTCTAGTCACAAATCTGAACAGGAAAAAACAGTAGCTTAATTTCTGTACATCCATGAGTTGTAGTGAAGCTGATTGAATCTTTCTGTGCTTTCATCTCATCTCCAGCTGAGCTGGCTTAGTTTGTGTTTGAAGTATAGTTAATGGAGTGTGGAAAAGCAAAATTTTTGCAGAAGTCAGTTCTTAGCTTTGACTTTTATGAAAAATCTTCCCTACAGCAGGCCCAGAATGAGCTGGGTATTAGAAGGCAAATAAGAAGATTCTAAAATTTATGATTCATCAGAAACTCAAATTTTGCCTTTGTAAGCCCAATTATCATAGCTGAACCTCCTCAAATTACTTCTAGGCCTTTTCCTAAAAAGTAATAAATAGCATAAAAAAGAAAAAAGCCTAGCTTTCTCCACCAGCCCGTCTTGGTAACTAGTGGCTTTATGCAGGTTTTATATACTGTAGGTGCGGATGAGGAATTTTCTTCACAAGGGACCCCGTTGCATGCTGATCGTGGCGAGACCAAAGTCAGAAGTGGGCAGACCAAGAGATGCAACTTGCCTTTGAAGGGCAGGGAACATTCCAGCCACACAAAACTCAGGCTGTTGTATATGTGCACACATCCACCCTACTCCTCCCACAGGGTTAAGACTCATTTCTAGTCAGGCGAAAGCACCTGAGGAGCAAGAAAGATAGGGGAGTATGGCTTGAGGAGAGTCCTGAGTCCATAGAGAGGCTTGGATGGCCACATTTGGCCCCTGTTCCTGAGGCTCCTCATCCCTAGGGTATGCTATTCAGGTGCTGAAGTCTAGGCACAAACGGGGGTTCCTGAGGTTTAGGGGTAGTGTTTGTTTGTTTTTTCATTTCGCCTACTGGATATTTTCTGTATTCTCAGTGGCTTCAAGAAGCGGGCTCCTCGTGCTCTCAAGGAGATCCGTAAATTTGCAATGAAGGAGATGGGGACTCCTGATGTACGCATTGACACCCGCTTGAACAAGGCTGTCTGGGCAAAAGGAGTAAGGTATTGTGACGAACTTTTTTTTAGTACAGAGGGACACACTAATGTTGCTGCACTAGTACACATGTGCTTAGAATATGGTGTTAAGACATTACACTGTATATTGGTGCAATATTTCAAAAACTTACCATTTGCCAGTCATTTTAGTGGTGGTTCAGATACATATAGGCACTGCTTCTATTTCTATTTAATATCCACTTTGGCATTGTGATGTATGACAGAAGTTACTGGGGGGATTGGCAGCTGCATTTCTATGCTGACTACAGAAGAGAGAATTATTACCCTTCTCTGTCATGCATGGGGTTTCTATCCATCTATTGGTACCAGGCCAAAGCTTAAATAAAAGGCTGGTATCATAGTACTATAATTAATGGGAATAATGTTATGGTTCTCAAATCCCTTGAAGAAACAGCTAGTATTTGAACTGTGGTTCTAAGTATGTTATCTGGGCTGAGCATTCTGTATTTTCCTGGAGAATTGCTTCACACTGGAGCAATCTTCATTCTTAAATGGATTATGGAACTAATGCTGCTTTTAGAATACACTGCTTCTGGGCTAACAGGATGTGTTACAAGAGTAGGTCTGATCCAGGGGTAGCCACAGTGGTGCCTTCCAGATGCTGCTGCACTCCAGCTAGCATCTTCAGCCAGCATGACCAATAGTCAAGTTCTTTTTCATGATGCTTATAAATCGTGTTAAGTTATAAAAATAAAAAATGGCTAAAATGGCTTTTCTTGCCCCTTGGACATGAAGAAAAGCCTTGAAGGGAAAATTATTAAATGTTAGGATTGCAGAACTGGAAATAGGTGGAGTGGAACTTCCGTAAATGTTGGTGTTGAAATATGCAAACACACACCCATGATTTAATTGTATCGCAATCATACTTTCACCCTTTTTCTAGGAATGTTCCTTACCGCATCCGTGTGCGTTTATCCAGAAAACGCAATGAAGATGAGGATTCGCCTAATAAACTGTATACACTGGTCACATATGTGCCAGTTACCACTTTCAAAAGTAAGTCCACCCCCCCCCCCCCGGATTGTAGAATTTCTCACAATGTCAGAGATATTTTGTGTGTGGCTGGTCGCCATTTGTTGTCTCTACCCTGGTGAACAGTATCTATCTGCAGAACAGGGAGGGGAGGCAATTTGTAGCATTTCCTCTCTCAAAATCTCCAGAGAGTTAGGGACCTCTGGACTTTTGGGAACCTGCAGGAAGGGAAATTGCCTTTCTTCCCCATTCCACACTATAATCTAAAATTAATGCATGCTGAATATGGATTGTGTATTCAACTTTAACTAATGCAACTTCCTCCTTTTTTACAGGCCTACAGACTGTTAATGTGGATGAAAACTAATCTTTCATTACAATAAAAATGTTATGACATTACTTTACACAAGTCTTTTTTAAAGTCTAGTTATGAGGCGATTCAGGTTGCTTTGGCTCCCAAACTGGCTGGCTAAATATTTCTTGAAATTAAATCTTTGGTCTTCTGTTGACTGCAACTCCTGTCAGCCGCAGCCAGCACTGATATTCCTTTGATGGTCCAGGAGCAACAGATCAATTTTAAGACAGCAATATGGAAATGTGGAAGAGTGAATGACTGCAGATTCATTTTGAAGGTAAAGGTGCTATTTGAAAAGCAAAAGTTACAAAGGCATTTTTATTGAAATGTGCGCACACAGAGACATGAAAAGCACAGTCCATGTACACTGAACATTCAGCAAGACATACAAATCTTGATGTCTTGATTTGTATATATTAATATATATTAATGGTTTCAATTACCAGCATTGAAACAAGTATTCGGTATTAGTGCAAAAAAGGCAACTGTACATAAAACCTGCAGTCGGTAGTCAGACGACACTCTCAAACCAGGAGTTCAGCTTTTTGTCTTTGAAATATTAACACATCTGCAGCAGTATTCAAAGGGAAGATGGCCTTTTCTTCCTAAATTACATTCAAGAAAACAAATGTCAAAACCACATTAAATGTGTTTTGGTTTTAAAGCTCTTCAAATGAAAATGTATCAAAATAGTCCAAAAAACTTAATGTTGCAAGATGCGCTTTGGTGTAACATGAACTGCCTGGGAGATTTGCTATGGTACACTTAAAGGTTCGGTCTCACCTCGTGATGATGACTGGCTGGTGCCATTTGTTTTGAAGGTATATTGAGCTACCCTTGCATTCTCCAGTTTTAATTTGAGGTCTAAGGATTTTTCAAAGAAGTTGACGAGTGACTGTTCAGTTAATAGTGAAGCCAAGATGTGTTCAAATGAAACAATCCAATCCCCATCAGTTATTGGTAAAGACTCTGCATTCTTTGGGGTCTTCACAGTGTCAGTAAAAACCACATCTTGATCAGAGGTAGATGCCTCAGTCTGGAAGTCCTCAGTAAAGTCGTCTGAGCCTGAACTGCTGCTTCTCTGACCCACTTCTCCAATCTGGAGTAGCAAAGTAGTCACTGTGGCAATGGCTTGATACAACTCGTTCTCCTCTGGGTCTTCATGAAACATGCTGTACAAGGTCTTGCAGAACTGGATGAACTCTCGCTGAAAAACAGGACATGCATTTTTGTTTGTTTGTTGCCTGCAGTCTTAAAAATGGAAAGACTATAATAGATAACTAATACCACCTGCCTGCAAGGGAAAAGAATTAACATGCACATTTATAATCCTCAAAGTAATTACACAAACTTTGCTTATATGGTTCACAAACAGGCAGTTTAACTGTTAATTGGTTCCCTAGCACTCAGAAATCCCTGTTTAATGTTTCTGGGAGTAACTGTTAATTTATCCGCAGCCCCAAAAAGATACTTCGTTAGCCCACTTAATGTTAAAGCGAAGAAGGGCTATACAGCGGGGAGGGGGTGACATTGTGTATCTGCCGAAATTGAACATGGGACAGTGGAAGAAGGGAAGCCTAGATGCGTAGGTTTCTGTGGAATCAAATTGGACTGCACTAGGACCAGAGTGTGCAAGCCTCCAAGGAAAGGCTTCTCTTCAGACATCCATTCTCGCTCTATGTTGGGTCAGGGAGCGGCCTGCATTACTGCAGTTGGTTCCAGTTTTGATATGGTGACATCTAGTTTTAACTGGCCAGTGGGAGAGAAGAACCACCGTCTCCACACACACCCCACCACTGCCAGATGTTTGTCAACAGGTTTCCCATCCCTGAACATAATTTTGTCAAAATTATTCCCATGAGCCTTGAGCATTTTCATGAGTATAGTGAGTTGCTAGAGGCTAACTACATGTTTACTCCACAGACAAAGATAGGTGACCAAATGTGGAAGTGGCTTAGGCAGACCGATAGATGCTTACGTTGTCAAAACTCTTGAGAACTGCATCTTAACATCTCATCATGTCTTACCTGGCACATTTTTGGTAGCTCTTTTTCAGCCTTGGCATCTTTTTCTTTGGCTAAGTCCTTCAGCATCTGCTTCAGTTGTTTCTGATAATCTATGGTGTCACCTGGAAAGCAGGATATAAATGACATTACAATTCATTTCGACAAAGGAGGAAGGAAAATGTAAATAAAATGAATTTAGGGAGCTCTGGTGAATCAGACCAAAGTCTAGTCTAACATCCTGTTTCCTACAGTGGCCAGCCAGATTCCTCTTGTGAGGCTCAAATACAGGACGTGGGGGAAATAGGTTCTCTAGGAGCAAGCTAGAGGCTTCAGAGGCTTACTGCCTCTGAACCTGCAGATATCATGTGTAGGATATAGCCATCGTCACTGACAGTTTGCTTTTGTTTTAAGCCCTTTAAAAAATCATCCAAGGTGGTGGTCATTAACACAGGCAATGAATTGCATATGCTAAGTTGGGGCAGGGTAGGGGGAAGCAGATACCCATTTGCAAACCAGATCACTTACCATTTGATTTTGCAATTACTAGCGGCCTTGAAGTTGACAACAAAGGATTCTTCAGTGGTGATTGGCTGTCCCTGTCTTTTTCTGTGAGGGCTACAAAAGAGACCATTGATGATCACAAAATGTTTATTTTAGGCGTAACAGTTCCTTGTGAGTTCCTACATTTCCCCTTGTTTTCCCTTGTGGCCCCTAGGGCTGAGGGAGAGGCTCAAAGGCCTCAGTGCCAACTTCATACAAACATTTTGGACCCACCATGAACGGCCTGTTAGAGGAGGAATGTTACTGGCTCATATAAAGGGAGGGCAAGTGGTGCTTCAGGAAGAAACTGCAGGATATCAAAGCTGAGTCACTACGTATACAACTGCACTTTAAACACACTGGCTTTCCATAATATAACAAAAAAAGGATGATTCAAGCAGTACGAAAAGGGAGGGGGATCCTGTAAGATTCTTACCAGGAGGAATGTGCAGCTTGTACAACAGTTTTATCTTTTCATTCATTTCTCCATTGTACATAATATCTGTGTGAGGAAGAAAGTGTATCAGAGGCTTGACCTTCACACTTGAAGCACGAAGGAATAAAACTATGTGAGAAACCATGATAGTATCTGCAGACAATTTGGTTTAGAACCTAATCTACGCGCTTGACCCTTGTGTAAATATCAAAAGTCATATAACTGAACTGTGGGCTGGAAGGCACTTGATTAAGAATGCCTATTGTCCCCAGTTTGCATCTCAAAAGCCTCCAGAGACTTTCAGATAGAAATAAGGCCTCCTGCTGAAAAACAAAACACTTGCAGATTTTAAAAACGAATCTAACCCACCTGTAAGGGAAGCTATTTCCTATCCTTTGGCCAGGCTAAGATTTTAATGGTTCCACAAGCACCAAGGGATTAAAAAGGGACTGTTAAATTAATGTAAGACTTGTGGAAAAGCATATTTGAAGCTTCCACTGTTTCTTTGTAGACAACAGCATAAAATCTCAGGACCCATTGCAAGGGTGTCACAAAGAGTTTTGTGACCTGGAAGAATCCTAAAAAGAGACAAATTACCAGGAACACGCACACCACATGACATTCTGTCATCCTGACTGGTGTACACCTGCACACCCACTTCTGATAAGTTCCCAATGGCTGTTGCATCTTTAGAGATGTATTTACCTAAGCAGCCAGCGAAAGCTTTGAATTCAATGAGATGGTCCATGTTTTCATCCAAAAGTCGGAATGTTCTTTCTGCTAGAACTTCAGTATGTTCACCACATGTCCAGGGTGAAACAAGTTTATACAGGTTAGTGAACTGCCGAGAGTCAATTCTGTATTGCTCTGCATAAGGTCTGCTTGGATTGTGGCGCTGAATTACAACTGCACTATTCCATTCCCAGTAGCAGCTTATTAGATGTTCTTTCTAAGGAGAATTTTAAAAAAATAATGAAACATTAGAGGGGGAAAGACCCAGATACAATTACAAAATCTAGACGTAAAACAATGAACCTGCAAGCACTCCTGAATATGGCTCTTGCCTTTGCACAGTAACTACATTCCAGTATGTTTTCTACACGCACCCTTCTCAATCCAGCCAAGTAGGAGGCATTTCACCACCATAGGACACATTCCATTCACATAAAAGCAGCCAAGAAGGGGGCAGAGCAGGCTATGGCCTGCTGAAAGTCGCTAAGGCTAGGCAGAGGAGGGCTGCAAATGGGCCTGTGTTCTTACCCTATACCTTTTTTTAAAAAAAAGACATTGACAGGGAAAAGGAGCCGTTTCAAAGGCTCCTTTAGAATAGGAGAAGGGAATCTGACCCACCAGCTGCTGTTGGAACTATCATCCCTGACAATTGACCATGGGATCCAACAACATTTGGGGTCCAACAACATCTGAAGGCATGCAGGTTCTACACACACACACACACACACACACACACACACACACACACTTTTTACATCCTTGAAAAAGCTACCAAGGATAAAAAAGAAATAGCAAAACTAATAGTATGCAAGACAGGATTGTCTGGTTGATTTCTAAGATATCTATCTATAAGCTTAGATATAGATCTATAGATAGACCTGAGGATGGCTAACACAGGATATAACCATACAATATTCTTTTCTGGGATTACATGCATTTTTTCAGTGTTTTGCATACCTTAAACAAGCCATACAGTTCTTCCAAGTCTTCTGGAGCGATGGAGACATCCGGGATGACAACTCTAAGCTTAAGAGAAAACAGGAGTGAGCCTAGTGGTAACCTGGCATAGCTGCTGGCAATATCACTTCTCACAGCAACTTAGTATAGTTAAAATCTGGAATGCTTAGGTATTCCACCTTTCTTGTGTGTTACCTTCTTGTCTTGTTTTAGAATCGTAATCTGACACCTGTTTTATCAAGTCATCTCCTGTCTATCTCTTGCCCACCCAACACTAAGTATCAGCAACTTTCTCCTACATGGCAGAAAAACAGGGAATGAGAGATAATCTATTGCTGTCCTCCATCGCCAAGATCCCTAGCCCTTTCAGTTTACAGC